GCTTGCTTTATGCCGATGTAATTTAATTCACTAGGGATGGGATGCACCAGGTAGATGTAGACAATAAACTGACCTAGTTTTAAAGTGACTTTGAATTATTTGTTCTTAATTAAACTGAATGTGATAGTTGAGTGTTTTCAAAATATATCAAATAAAGTTTTAGTCTTTTTGATAAAAAACATATTGCAGAATGGGCCCGTTATATATAATGATACAGATAAATAATTGATGAGGAAACAAGTTAATAGGGAAACCATACTTAACCATGGTTTTTAAGCCTCTAAATCTCAGCTATCTAATGTTATCCCTTAGAGTCAAAGGGTAAGGAACATAGTCTAGACGCTGACTTGAACCATGAAGACTTAACAACCCAAAAGCTTCAAAATCCATTAAAATTAACCTTACACAACAGCTGTAACATTTATGTCGACAATCGACAACAAAACTATCGACACTTGCACATCTCTATACTAAAAAAGCATGAATCGGTGCGCAGGCGCATTCTGTCACGATCCTCGTGTTTTACTTACCACTTACACCGACACGACTATATTGAACGTTTCACTAACCATTACCTTTTTTGTTCGCATTACATTCCTCTTTATTTGCAATCAAAACGCAATGGGTGCTTAAAATTGTTGATTGTCGTGACATTCGGTTGAAATACTTAGTATTAAGTGAAGTGATTTTAAACTCGTGGTTTTGTAGAAAAACTTTGTGGTTTTTTGTGACTTTATTTACTTGGTTCTTTGTTGTTATAATATTAGAACTCGAATACCATACTTTAATGGTCGCGAGAAAAATATGGACTGCAGTTCCGTCAGTAAGTGTTACCTACTGGAATTTCCATTAACAGCATCGGGATTTGTAGAGAAGTGAATGGTGAAAAGTAAAAGATTTGTAGACTAACCTTTTTTAACTAATGTTCGTTATTCCTTAAAAGGGTAAGATATTGATAAAGATTGACCTTGTGATTTTACGTGTTTCGTGTAAAAGATACACAGGGACTGTCGTCAGATTAATTATCTTATTAAATTGAAAATTACGGGGTCATTCCGCAATAATGTACCGCGGTCTTGGCTCGGAGTAGAACAACTAACAGGGTGGTTGGCCAGTAAGAGTCTGACTCTTTCACTTGTCTCTCCCAGGGCAGGAAATTCATTTGAAGATGTTCAGCCGAGGTTGCCGTGTAAGCGCAATGAGGCACAGCGACCTCGGCCCAGAGCAGGAGAAGGAACGGGGGCTTTAGCCAGTGAGAATCTGACACTCTCTACCGCCCGACCCTGGGCGGGAGAAGTTATTTGATGATTTCCCCTCACAAGATTTTCATAGTTATAATTTATTAAAAAAACCACCATCGATTACTAAGAAAAATTAATAAACGAAAAGAAATAAGAAGATTAATTAAAATATCATGTTTGCCTCACAAAGTCCGGGTATGATTCCCAAGTTAAGCGAGTATGTTGTAAGGTTGTAAGTATGATAGTACAGGTTTATGTCACTTGGTTATATAACATTGAGACGCCTCTATGGTCCGATGGCAGATCTTTATGGATCTAAAGTGTTTGTCAACATTGTGTGTAACGTGCTACATACTACATACGATTCGCACGTTAGTTCTTGAACTTCAATTTTAGTACTTAGCACCCACGTAATAAAGTTGCGGTTAAGGTCAAATATTATTTAACGTATAGTAAATAGTATTCATGTTTATAGTATGCATATAGATAGAATTTGTAAAGTTTTTTAATGTCATGGGTCGGCAAACGAAGCAGACGGATTGTAAGCAATCAGCGCCTTTCATGGACACTCGTAATATCAAAGAAGTATAGACAACGCACTTGTTCTTATATATAGATATCCTCCTCCTCCTCCTCGCGTCGGTTTCCTCAGTGCTGAGGGTCGTGACCACCTCGTGGAAGCAGTGTACTGCGTATTACTCTCCGCCATCTATTTCTATCTGCCGCCGAGTGGAGAGCATCGTGGACTGTAGTCTTGAGAGTGGTGCGAATCTGATCCGTCCAGCGTATCGGACTTCTGCCTCTAGGTCTCTTTCCTTCCACCTTACCAGTGATTAGTAACTTTTCCAAGTTATCATTACCCCTTCTGGCAGTGTGTCCAAAAAACTCCAGAATCCTGCGGAGGCATATGCCAATGTATCGATCCTCCAGGAGCTTAAGATCCAGACAAGGCTCTCTTCCATATGCCTCCATATATATAGATATATATAAGAACAAGTGCGTTGCCGGCTTTTTGTGGTTTATTAGGGATTTAAGGATAGGGGATTTGAGGATTGAGGATGAGGGGATATTGGGTCTCCGGTTGTGTTTCACCGTGTGATTAGGATCACATGGCGAAACACAACGTATGTGTTCACGCCAGTTTTTTGTGAGACCGTGGTATCACTGCGGTCAAGCCGACCCATTTGTGCTGAACCATGGCTCTCCCACACTAAAGCCACAATCAATTTTGAAATAGAAAAATTATTTTATTTTGTCGGACGCAAGAATTGAACTAAGTTAACGGCATTCGCGTTTAGATTCTTCTGAACAATTAACTTGTACAAGTATAATGTTTATATCCTGTTATGTTAATAAATACATACATATGAAGAATATTTCTCCTACACCCATGCTTATCTCAGCGAGATTAGAAAGCACATTAGGTACAAAGTAGCCTAGATTAGTCTGAATCTAGGACATCACTTATGCTATACTAAATAACCCAAAGGCGTGCAGTTTTATATGCAATTGCATTTCATTACTCTTCTTAAACCGCTTATAAATTTCTTTGACGATTTAAAACCCGCAATGTATATTGTGCACTTATTAAATTTCAATTTTCATTATTATTTAGGGCAATATTTACTGACTTTTAAAACCTTGGTAACAGATGCGTATTTGGCATGCGCTAATTTGTGTGGACATCTGAACGTTTGTAATCGTTGCTACTGAACTAATTGACTGCGTTCCTGACCTTTGGCCACTTAATCTAAATAGGATTGTTACTTTTGAACTAAATTATACGAAGCTAATGTGATAATTTATGTTTCTGTTGAACCTTGCTGTATTGGAAAAAGTCTCGGGTTTGATAAAATATTGTCATAAAACATTATTATAAAACAATATTTGTCTATAACACCGCAGTAGAGCAATCTTATCGTACTATTTTTGATCCTGGTGATAGATTTAAGAGGTTGGAGAGTAATATAGACTACTTAAACACGGATATGGAACAAGTATCCATATAGTACTTAACTGGTAGTTACTTAACTTGAGATTACCTAAGTACTTCTTAGTTGGTGTTGCGGATATAAGTCGAATAATAATATACCGCAGTTCCAGCCAAGAACAGTAAAAGGAACGGAGAGGTTTTTAGTCAGTTAATGTCTGACATTCCCTATGTTCCACCCCCTTCTTAAGGGGTAATCAAAATTATATTGCGATAACTTTTTTCGACCTGATTTACTTGACACAAAAAATTCCTATATAATTCGATTGACCAATAAAAAACTTATATTCAAATTATATTCTTCTTTCACACCAAAATGGATGAAAGTTCGTATCAAAGTACATCAATCACATTAAGAAGTTGAATAGTTCGAACTCGTAACAAAATTACAACTGACCTACTGAACCAAGTACCAAATATTTTGACCAATTACCACTTCTGATGGTAATTCGGTCTGGTCATTAGGGTACATGACCCTGTATGAGTATAAGTACTGATAATTATCTTAGTGGGTCAAGTCCCTTCGTTCTTTGGAGTGTTGAACAAAAGATGTTTTTCAAGCTCAATGTTTTAATGGTTTTTTTATGTAGTAGAACGGCAAACGGATTACCTGATGGTAAGCAATGCCGAAATTTTGGGGACTAGGCATTTGGGGAATTAGGGATTGGAGAGGCATCGGGGTGGGAAATATTGGGCCTCCGTTAACCTCACACACACGAAACACAACGCTGAGGTTTTTAACGCCTGTTTTTTATGTTGTGTTGGCTTTGTAAAGACAAGTTCCTTATCGTTTTGTTATAGCAATGAGTTGTCCGACTACTATTTAGGAATTCGTGCTATGGCTTTTTTGAAAGAGTGTTGTTATAGATGTTTTTCAGTATATACTTGTCAATTTGATACTTCATGGTGGATATTTTGATTAATTTAGGCAACGTTGAGTGTTTGTGGTTCACCCCAGATGCTGTGATAATATGAACATTATCAATGTATGAGTAATCGCATGCCGCGGGTGCGTAAACTAGACCTTCTTTTGAGGGAAAATCATCGAATGACTTTTCTCATCCAGAGTATATTGTGAGATAGCATTAGACTCTTACTGACTAACTCCTCGTCTTCTCCTGGTCCAGGCCGAAGCCGTATCGTAAACCAGGTCTAACAGTATAAAATACGCTTATATCATAGGCACGTGACATGAGTATTTAATTACGTCATCAATACACATGTGTTATATAAACAGATTCCCATGGGTAACGTTGTGAACTATACGATTGCCATATATGTAATTTATTACTATTTTATTCTGCAATTAATAAACCACTACGTTTCTCGTGAGATTTTCTTTTAATAATAAATAATTTGTATCGCTTCACGCGGCTTCGCTTCGTGCTTTGGTTTCGTTTAACTTTTAAAAGTACACTATACTAATAATTTAAATAAAATAATTTGACTTTGACTTTGACTAAATTTACTAGAGACTATGTTTCTTTTTTTCTAAGAATATGAACAAGTTGTACAATGTTTGAACAGCTGTCAAGTATCAAATGTTTTGGATATGGATATATTATTTGTGTACCTAGTACCTAGTACCTATCATTTTAATATAAATGCATACATGAATATAATAATATATTATGTATAAAGTTGGTGAAACAAGCCTTAAGCCTTTACAGGGAATGTTAAATTTTAAAAGTATACCTAATTATAAAAGTGCCTTTGAGGTGCAAAATAGTATTCTAAGACATTAAATAAATATTTTATTTTCTTTCCAGGGCGAGCCATGACAGGATGGAGATGAAGCAGAGTTTAATACAATACTTGTAAACAACATGATATGAACATGGAATCGCCAGTGAGAATATGTTTAGGTAAGTGCTCAATAAATAATAAACATTTAGTAAAGTAAATCTGTATTTATTAGGATCAGTACAAGTACTTAGGTAAAAACAATTAGTGTTATAGAAACTAGTTTCCAACTGATTAAAAAAAGAACAACACGTGCCTACTAATATAACTTCTTATTTTCCAAAAATCAAGTCAAGGTCATAAATAAATCTAGTCTATGTTAAAAAATAGTTCTTTACAAATACTTTACATTGTAGTTGTCATAGTTTATACTTAATTAATATTAATAATAATACGTTGCAGGTGCAGCATTAGTAGTAAATTTACTACTGTTGAGCAGCACAGCAGTTAGCGGTAGCGCTATACCCGATACGACATCTACGACTGTCAAAGATGAGAGGGCGCCGCGGTACGGCCGCGTCAACGGAACCTGGCTAGCAAGAAACCGACCCAAGACCCCAGATGTCTCCCTTAACGAACTAAACCCTAAAGACTCAACCTCTGAAGAACATACAGAAAAAAATGCAAAATATAAGGACAGGGGAAGGGTCCGATTCAATTCACAGATAAAATCTAGCACAGAAAGTTCTCGAAGAAGAGTTAAGTCCACAGAAACCACCCCTAAGTTAGTTATAGTAACTCCTACACCAGAAGTAAAGAGACCCGCTGAAATTGTTGACAGTATGCAAAAATATAAGAAAACGAAACTGCCAGCTTTTACTAGCAGCACCACACCCATTAGTGTGAAGAAAGAAGTTCACAGTGAAGAAGCTTACGAGGAAGACGAAGAAGGTGAAGAAGACGAAGAAAAGGAATCTTTCGAGAAATTCACTTCTGGAAAATTCGATAACACTTTCTTTACTATACCCAGTTTTAGCTACGGAAATGACTTCACTCATGACTCGGACAATGAGAGCTCTGATAACAAAGTAAAGAATGAGTACAGCAGTCCATCATATGGTGGATTCTCTAGCTTATTCCCCCGTGAAGCATCATACGGCTACAAAGATACAACTTATGATATATTTAAATCTGAATCGTTCTTCGATTTTGACACCGAATTAACGACACCGAAAAACGACTACTTCGACAAGAAATTTCAACGGATCTCTTCAAGTATTATTAACAATTTAGATACTATGAAAGCTAAAGCTACTCCTTCCAATACACCCAATGTCCATATTATAAAGGAAAATATTGGTATGGAGAAACTAGGTAATAATACTCCTACTAACAGGTCATCAGTATTTATTAAAAACACCAAAGAAATTCGACTCTTAGATAATGATGGTGCTGACAGTTCCAAAAAAGAGTTATCTGATGTACAAGGTACAAGTATATATTATGAAATGTCTGTCTTATCAACTGAAACGTATGCTATCACTCATGATGATGATTGTGATAATGAATCGTTACCTCTACCGACACCGAGTACGTCTGCAGAAGAAGAACTGGCGTCTCTTAAAGCCTCACGGCATTCAGTCCCAACAGCGACTCGGCCACCACTGCCTGATCCTAGCCCTGAGAGTATATCAGTATCACCTACGAATTATATTCCTCTATCAAGTGGGATACCCATTATAGATACAATAAATTCTATTCCAGTTTCTACTCAAAATTCCATATCATCGACGGAAAGAGTAACTAAAAAGTTTTCTAGTAGCTTCAACAGACATCGAACTTATTCCAAACGTCTTAATATAAATAATAATAATGACTCTCCTAATAGCGTCACACCAAAACCTGATAGTATAATCTCTTCGACTCCTAGTCCAAGGCTTCCATTACGTAAGTTCCATCATACAACACCTAAAACAAAACCTATTTGGATGGTGCCTAGACGAAATATTACCAGACCATACATTCGACCTACGACTCCCACGACGATATACTCCGAGCATTTTAGCGTAAAAGAAAAGACAACACCTCAACCGCGGCAACCGAGCAGGACAATGTTGACGACAGTTTCTTCAGACATCGATCCTGTACTACAAAGCGAGATAAGTGGAACTAAAAAGGTGGTGCATTCTCAGTCGATATCTGATAATACGGTTCCAAGTTTGTGGAAACGGGGTTCGACAAAATTTGCATCGTCAACGGCGTCGTCAACTGAAGTGGAAACGGAGAGTGAATGGCAGATACCTCCAACATCAACCGCATGGGCCCTAGCTAGTCTACGCAGCCCGCCACCTGCACCTGGATCCGTGAACAAAACCTCGACACAGAAGAGCGTCGACGAAAATGAGTTGCAGAAAGTTGGAGAAGTTTTAGGTGAGTAATTGTGTTATTTAAGTAATATAATTTTTGACTCACTAGTGAGTAAATAACGGAAAAAAATCGGTATATAGGCCAAAACACTAGTGTGTAGGTAAAAATTATTTCAATTCATAGTTAATCGTATAATATTCAACTAATATTTAGACAGTAAAGTATCCAATTGAAGAATTGAATCATTATCATTATTGTGATATATGTATATAAATATATCAAATATTGAGTTGCCAAGGTTGTTTTGAGTTAATAAAAATTACATGTTTCATAAAAAAATACATGTTTCAGACAAAAAAGAAACAACGAGCGCAACAACAACATCAACGACTGCGAGCACGATAAGTAACGATATTGTTCCAAAGAAGATAACGGAAGTGGTGCAGAACAAATTACCTTGGCATTCTATGTTCACTCCAACATCTCCAAGCTCAGAACTACAAACTGAAGTCACATCTGAGAATAAAACCGACTTAAGACAACCAGCTGAAAGTAATATTTCTCTTCAAAGTAGTGAAAAGCCATCTACTACGGATAGATCAAATTCTATTGAAAATCAAACCGAAGACTCTTGGGTTTCCGTAACAGTTGGATCAGATTCATCTACGGACAAAAAGACAATTCCACCAGTTGATGCAACGAAGTCAACTGGTTTTGAATCGATAACGAAGCTACCAGCAGATGTCACTACACCACAAGATGAATCTTTCGCTAGTTCGGAACTCAACCAGACGGTAACTGAGGACAAACCTAGGACTACTACTGACTATGAAATAACCACAATTAGATTTTCTTACGTACCAACTGAGGATGTCGAAACTGAATCGCCTTCTATTCGTAGCACCACGCCTAGTATGTGGCATCCTGTTTTCCCGACTAGGACAAGAATAACTACAGTTAAAGACACTCCTGTCACTACTTACAGACCTAAATACTTAACAACGGAAACTGTAGAAGAATCTACAACTACAGTAATTGAAACTACATCACCTATAGAGGTTTCTTCACAAATATTAGAAAGTACTACAAAACAGGTGGTGGAAATTACATCCCCAACGGAATCTCCTACGACGACGACTGAAATTTTAACTGAAGCTCCTACTACAACAGAAATTTATACCCCTCAACCTACAACTCAAGAAGTTACTACTGAGTTGACTACAGTGGAGGTGGCAACAAAACCCACTACAATAGTTCCGACGGAAGAAACAACGCCAGTAGTAACCACTCTATCTCCATCTAGCACAACCAGTGAAATTGAGGATACCACTACAATTGTGGTAGAAATCGTAACTGAAATAAACACTGAAAGGGAACAACGAACCTCTACAACAACAGAAATACCAGAAACAACTGAAACATCAAGTGAATCACAGGAATCTGACTGTACTGAAGAGAGTAGTGGTAGCAATGAAGTTATTACTCAGGAGACTTCAAAACCTACTACAGTTGAAGCTACAACTGAAACTGTAACTGTGCCTACAACTATTGTTCCTGTGACGGTGATTATAGAGAAGGTGACTACCCAGCCTACTACCACAATGCGTGAAGAAACGACTACTCAGCGAAATGCAAAGATTCATGATACAACGGTAGTTGTGACTACGACTGTAGCAGATGATGCTATGAAAACCAGCAATGGAATTGATGAAGGAACAAGTTATATGGGAGAGATGACGACTGAGGCGTCGTCGAGGGTGCTTGGTGATGAGGAGGATAATGGGTCAGGAGCCGCTGTTGCCATTGCTGTCAGTACTATTGGAGTTATAGCGCTGATACTACTCATTGGATTGCTGGTAAGTCAAATAGTAATTTATTTTTAATATCATTAACACACGAGGCTTTCTTACCAATCTCGTAACTAGCAAGGCCGGATACATTGAAAATATTTATAATTCGAAGATGAAACAAAGCTTTAAAAAAATGAAAGTTTTAAACTAGGCGCATAAGTCCAATTTGATAAAAAAGTAGAAAATGTGGTTTACAATCCGGGAATCGAACCCTGTGTATTATAAGAGAGCAATAGAGCTTCTTATTTCTAAAATAAAATAACATTAATCATAAAAAAAAAATACAAAAGCAACGAGAAAATACAAACAAAAAACACACATAGGTACTATAACTAAGGAACACAAAAACACATTTCTCTTCTTTCTTCATTTTTCTCTTGTCATCTTCCACGGAACATCTACTGTTGAATATTCGTACAACATATCCAAAGTAATGAGCATAATATCTATTGATATACCTCACGATAAATTACGTTCACTACTTTGGAGAACGTTGTAGATTTTACTGCGAGAGACTTAGCTGCTTCTTGCCTGGAATAATACACAATATGTATTAAAACATTTAATAGAAACTAGTTGCTTATTCAACTGAAAAAAGGCTATACTAGTTTCAAGTCACAATTCTTATAGGATTCTACTCCGCAAGATCGCACGCCTTTTTAAAGAATTTAGTGTTTCACGATAGTTGTTATAAATGTTATATGTACTTTCTATGATTATTTAGACACCATTGACATACGGTGAAGGTAAACATAGTAAGGGTACTTGGACTTGAAAATTCTAAAAATAAGTTTGAAATCGCCAACCTGCATTGAACAAGCATGGTGATTAATGCTCACACCTAAAGTAACAGACTCGTATTGAATAAAAGCCACCCGTTCGTTGTGCTACTCACATATACAAGGCTAAAATAGTGATGTCTAAAAAATAGGATCTTATAAAAATTTAATTGAAAAGTGTTAACATTTTTGACTATACATTTAGATTAAAATATGTATTGATTTTGATTACTTGTCAACAACGCGATGTTGCTAAGAAAATTACTATTAACACAAAAAAATTTAACAAATCGAAAACAACGGGTCGACCAATAGGGGTAACCAATAACGTATGTTAGCTTTATACTGATATAAGATTTTGCCCGTGACTTCATCCGCAAACCTTAATAAATTACACTCTTAAGTCTTCTAATTGACCAATGTACTAAAAACAGCGTTAAAATCTGTTACACAGCTCTAAATACCTAAATATACATAGGTACAGACAGCGGGAGCGACTTAGTTATGCTGCTAGGTAGTGAGACCAAAATTCTATGCCTTATTTTTTCGACAATTGAATAGAAGTGTGGTTTTTATTTATTTATTTTAATAGGCACACAAAACGCAATTTCCTACGCAATCATATTATGCACTGCAGCCTAGGGTAAATCCTAATTATTAAAAAGGGGAAAAACATTTATAATTACCTCGAGTATGTAGGTAGCCTAGTTCCGGCAGTGCAGCTATAAGATGCACCTGAAATGCATACAAATATATGTATATTAATAATAATGCAATAATATCCAACAATAAACTGGGAGGACTATGCTGTGGCGTGGACGGCTTGGCTCGACTCGACCGTAGTGGCTCAATGTCCCGTCCTCACCTGCAAATACGAATCCTCAAATCCTTAGAAAAAAACACGTCCTTTGGTGTTGTATCCATGGCGCCGATTGCTTACTATGAGGTGATTAGGATTAATTTTTGACAATCTTACCAATTAAAAAACATTTGGTTAAAATTACCATTGACACAGTCGATCTTAATACCTGAAAGGCGCATGATTAATAACGATAAATTTTAGTGTTTTCGGAAATTTTCGGTACTAGTACTTCGGAGTTTGCAATATTATGTGTCCCGTATAACTTGGGATCGATGCTAAAGCTGGTACAATTTGGGTGTCAATATGCACTTTCGCATACCTAAATTTTTAATTATTAATTGATATAAAAAATAATCAATTGAAAAAGGAAAAAAATACGTTCAAAATCTATTATTCACCCTTCTCTTAATGTGTTGAATACATAAATCATCAAAGGCGTTCATGAGTGGAACAATTATATTTTGAAGTGTGATTATGTCCCACTACTAGAGAGAACCGATAAGTATTTTTTTGCATTCAACCAAATGTACCAGGGCAACAAAAACTCATAAGAGCTTTAAAACAACAAGTGCACCACCAACGCTTAAATACCTGTAGATAATCCTAATATCTCATCGGAAGTTGGTCTCGTTCGTCGCGTCTGGCGATAAAAATTCCTTGGTTTGCAACACGAAGCGGTCTAATGTGGTCACCCGACACCGAGATATGGTTATCGTTTGTAACGAGAATTGGCATACTTGGACGGCCGTTAGATATGTCGGTCACAAGTTTCGTGAACGCTTCTCTACTTATGGGTTCCTGGTACTTTCGATTTTCATTCCTTTTATTAAGCATCATAGCATTACGTAATTATAATGAAGTTATTGAAGTCTCATGGTTTTGTTTTGGAAAGTATAATAATAATGAACTAAAATGTACATTTTTGTAATTTCTGTATTCTGTAGGCTTTAGATAAATAAAGTAACTACAATAATCAATTAGCGCCCATGTAAGAATCGATTTGAGCTATAAAAATATAGGTAGTTAGCATTTTTGCAATAGATCCACTGAAAATATAGTTTATAAAATAAAATAAAAAAAACCTACATATAAAAAATGAACGAAGAAAAAATAATTAGGAGAATTTATATTTTACTAGGAATTCAGAACGACAACAACGAAATAAGGATCAACTTGGACTTATTTTTGAAAGCAAATTCGCCTGTGAAATCGCCGCAAAGTTTATTCGAATAGTGAATGATTTTAAAACACATAATGACTTCGAATTCCCTCTGGATTAAATGCAGAGTCCGTCTATAAGAAGGTCTTGTTAGGCAACTGGAAGACTTACCTGATAGAACTTCTGCTATTCCTATCTGGTTACGCTTTCACACCTGAGTTCGCTTTCACACCTGAGTCCAAGACATGCTGGTTGGCTTTTTCTTCATAAAGCTGCAGATAGGAAAACACAACACACACAGAGACAAACAATGTAATCCGAAAGGTTTCAAATCTATTCTTAATTTGGTCTCAATTCCATTATAGTATTAGTTTAGAGGTTATTGGTCAATCGTTCAGTATAGCTACCATAAATCTAATATGGATTGCGGGGTAAGTGCAAGTAAATACCATGGCCTCGACCTGGGGCAGGAGAAGGCCGAGGTGGTTTTTAGCCAGTAAGAATCTAACATTCCCTTCCGCCTCACCATGGGCAAGCAAAGACATACGATCATATGCCTCCTCAAAAAACTCTTTGTGGATGTGATGTATAATATCGAAAACACTGTCCGGATTTTAAGTTTTAAATTAAGGAGGTACTTTTAAATTTATTTTGGACAACTCTAATAAACGGCGATGGAAAAAATATAAGTTCAAGCTTCATGAACTCTCACATGAAAGCGTTTTCAAAATTAAAAATATAATAATTTTGAAAACGCTTTCATGTGACAATTTTTTGTTCAACAGTAAACACTTACATATGTTGCTGATTTACATATCATCATGATGTTAACTACGTATTTTTTTTATTCGAATTGCTTTTTAGTAATTTGCAAGACGAGACTACTATAAAGTAAGTTTTTTTTAAGGAGGGAAAATCATCTAATGGCTTCTCTTGTATAGGGTATAGGGTGTTAGACTCTTACTGAGTTATAACCCCCCTTCCCTTCCCCTGCTTCATGGTAAAAAGGTGATTTTTATAAAAAAAAAAAACATATATATCGCTACCACCCCGAAGCAACTAATCACCATTTGAAAGCGTGTAGAATCTAATTTAAAAGTAAAATTTCAAGTAAGGTTATAAGGTCACTCTGAGAAGAATACAATATTTTCTGCTTCATAAGAAAATTATTAAAAAAAAATATTATTTTCCATTAAGAATATTTTGAATATTTTTTCTTTGATTTATTATTCAATCGTGCCCGGAACTGACTTGTATCAATACCTACCAAGAATACCGAAAGTTACGAATGTAAGTGTAAAATTAAACCTTTTTTTAACTAAATAGTAATAGTTGATATAATAAGTACCTAATACCGAACACAAAAAAAAAACAACCTAGAACAAAAAAAGAAACAATTGCAAGAAAAAAAACTTACCCATAATAAAATCGGCCATTTAAAAATAGAACTTGTAGCACTGATAAAATAATTACATAAATAATGGACACATACGTAACCGACACCGTTTATTGAAACATTAAAAGTAATTACTTTATTTCTATTTTTAAATTCGAAATTTAAAAAAGGAATAAGGTACTGGTAAACGAAGTCGGTTGCGCACACGTCGGCGGGTGATACGTCACTGCGTACTAGTCGCGACTCGCGCGCAGGGCTTATAGCCACCTATAGGCTATAGGACCGGGATATTGCAAGCTGAACAATGCACGGCTGTAAGAAAGTGCTGCACTTGATTTTGCTTTGGCAGTTCATTGAATGTGCAGGGTTTTCACAAAGGCATAAGACGATGGAAACATATTTATTAGATTTTATTTAAAAAAATGTTGCAATGAGTAAATGCTGATCTTTATTTATTATGAAATGTGGAATGGTATAAACATACTGGTATAATCACACTACATTTTGTTTCGACGATTTCCTTTCTACTCGATCACTCGATTTTCTCTATAAAATAAAATATAGGTGATCCAAAAGAGGACAATCTAAAAAGATTGATTACTTCTTTATGGAATGACATAAACAAAAATATATGATGGGAGTAACTTGGGATAAGAGTCTTCAAAGTTCAAAAGCATGTATAATAATAATACCTCATGCATATAAAAGGGAATTAAAATTTGAAACCACATTTTCAAATACCTTATAAGAAATAAGTTGTTTTATAAATCACGGGAATATAACTAGACAGCACTTTCTTGTAGCTATGCCAATGTAACCTATGTTCGTAGTAAGCTGTAGGTGTCGCCACTGTAGCGGCGCGGAGGATGTTTTTACAATGCAAATTATAAACAAAGCCAGCCCGATGATGGACCTTTGGTGTACAACTCCATTCTTAAATTAATTCGACTTTTATATAGGTAATTTTACGTATAACAAACATAATCTCAAACATAAAAACATCTAGGTATTTGGTAAATTTATTTACTGTTTGGCAGTTATTTTGAGAATTTGCAATTACATCACCAAGGAAGAAATATTTTGTCTAAAAGGACTAATTCTATGCTTGCGGTTTTAAAACTGGCTATAATTTGCAATGAAACAACAGAAACCAGTTAATATTTAAGCTCATTGTTAAATGAATTAAAGATAACATTTTACAAAGTTTATCTATATTTATATACCAGGATAAGTATTTTTTGTATGAAATAGCACTTAATTCACAAAATACTTTATCGCAGACTATTTATAGAATACACGTCAAAATAATTACCGTATCGTATCGTATCATTATCACGTGTGATATTGGACATAAGCAGGCCCAGGGCCTCATAAATTAAGGTCTCAAGTGGACTGGAGCGGGCCCTTGAAATGGCCACGTTTTCAAACGTCGCGTACCTCTAGCTAAGAGTGGCAATTTCTGATTATTGTTTCTTAGAAATGTTATCACATACTGTAAGCAGTTAAGCATTTTTATATTTGAGCAATGATGTTGACTTTTTTTTTAATTGTGCTTCACTACATAATTTTGATATAAGAATTGAAGGAACCTCCTTATGCATAACCGGAAATTGGCAATGTAGTCTATATCTATACTAATATTATAAAAGTTTGTATGTAAGGGGTAATCATTGGAAACGCTGATCGGCTTGCCTAAATTCTTTCACTGATAGATAGGTACAATGTTCCTGAGAACATTACGCTACGATCAAATGGAGCCGTGTAGTGGGTGAAACCGCGCGATAGTAACTAGTTATTAATACTATAAAGAGGTAAAATTTGTAAGTTTGTGTAGAGATAATCTTTGGAACCGCTGGTCGGATTTCCAAAAGTCTTTCACTCATTATCTAGCTAGCCACTCTCAGGCGGTTTCACCCGCTGCTAAGTTACATTTGATCGTAGCGTGATGTTTTATAGCCTATTAGCACTCAGGAACATCGTAGCTATCTATCAGTGAAAGAATTTTGGCAATCCGATCAGAGATTCCAAAAATTACCCTTAAACTTACAAATTTTACCTCTTTATAATATTAGTATAGATAAATGGAGTGGAGTTTCTTGCTCGTTCTTCTCCATCGGAATCTACACTTTGGAACGAGCAAATAGATTCACTAAGAGGATTGATCTTTAAAATTTTGTTTGATGTTCAAAAGTGCCTGTATGGGTCTAATTGAAATAAATGACACAATAATGGTAAAAATTAGTTCTTATTCAAATCAAAAACGTTAATTTTGTCATATTATGTAAGTACACAATATAGGTATGTATGTATACAATGCCTTCATGTATTAAGTATACATAGTATAGTATTATCAACGGCTATGAATGAGTTGTCTGTCTGCTCAATGATGACAGTTTAGAGAGCCGAGCTTTGTAACAAAACCCGACGTCCTGTCGATAACAAACTGTTTATACTTCAGTGTTAGAATAAGGATTTGTTTTATATGTATATTTAGGTATATAGCTATACTAAATCTTGGTGAATGAAATTCGTTTGGGTGGATATGCTTATCTAAATTGAACTCTGTTTCGTATGATGTTTAAGTTAATTTTGTAATGTACGGTAGCCTTACAATGTTATATGGTTTACATTGTCTTACGTTTACATTCATAAGTTGAGTTAAGTATAATAATTAAATATCACAATGTTCCATATCTATTCTAAATATGAAAAAGAAAAGGCTGAAAAGTAAGGAGAATCTATACTTCTTTCGGTATGGCATAATGAATATAATGCACTTAAAACCTATACAGAATATCCTTCGTGGTTAGGTTAGGTTAATAGAAATTAGATTTCTGTGATCACATCTATTAAATGCGTGAGACTTAAAAATTAATGCAAGTAAAAACACAAGAAGCTCATCAGCCACGCCTCCGAATTAGTAGAGTTTCTTGATTCTAGTCCCCAAAGATCTGATAGTGAAGGATTATCCAACTAGGCGAGGTGATAACGCTTAGCGGGCTAATGTCCAGCATATACATATATATTATACTTATTGGGATTTTTATGCGTATTTCACCGTATCGCCTCAAATATTACTGTCTTTTTATTTCGTTTCTTTTTTTATCTTTTAAGGGGTAACCATGACATTCAAAAAGATTGTTTTAATCTTTCTTCAATGGGGGTAAGAGAAAGAGCTATACAAGTTGTCTAGTTGTGTCTCTGTTAGCCTTTTAAATCTTCCCTGTATATCCAAGAATGTTTGAAGATCACAATCAGTCATTTTGGCCCAATCCCTCCGTATTCCTCTATCCCTTCCCAATCCTTAAATATCTGAAACACCTATCGTTACAAGGCCGGCAACGCGCTTGTAACTCCTTTAGTGTTGCGGGTGTCCACGGGCGGCGCCGATTGCTTACCATCAGGCAATCCGTCCGCTATTTTGTCGTCCTATAACATAAAAAAAACAAAATAATCATAATTTCATTATCTTTATTCTAGTTGGTAGTTCGTCGTCGTGGTCGTCGAGGTATTTATGCTCAGCGCTGTACTCCCGTCTCTCTGGACGCGTATAGCCTGGACAGCGTCAGCGTCGGCCACAGGAAGGGCAACCATCGTCTGCGAGCCAGCAAAAGGAGCTACGGGAACCCTGCATATGATGACGAGGTAACCCATCTTTTCGTATACACTCACATAGCCTGTAGAACTCTAATAAAGTTTTAAATTTTGTTAAGAATTTTGAAATTTTTGATAATACTTGTAAAACATACCTGCACTAAACCACTTTTTGTGTGATTTTTTTTTTGTTGTTCCGGGTCTAGGGTTTAAGGGGAGAAATTCATCAAATAGCTTTTGGTGAGGCGAGAGGGAGTGTCAGATTCTTACTGAGTAAAGCTTACCCCGTTCTTTCTCCTGCTCCTGGCCGGAGTTTTAAGGGTAAAACTCAGCGCTGGACCCGCAACTCTGGCGCTCTAGGCCTAAATTCTAAATTAAACATTATTTTAGCGAAGTTGGTAGAAGAAAGTTCGAACCTATTCTTGTTGGAAGAATATGCTCTTACCTAATATTTCACGGACTACGTTACTTTTTAAATTAATTTGACCGCTTATGTCATTAAAAGACTCATTAACCGATAGATTGCTTAACTATCCGCGATGGGACTGCAATCACTATCTTGTTTAGATTAACTTTATGTTATTTCTTTTCGTTTAATTTAACCATTTCCATTCCACTTGCAGGTCACCTCCCACCCAATGCAGTACGCAGCTTTGGCAAATTTTGCGATGGACATAGAATCCATGACGGCAGAGTTCTCAGAAATTCCCTCGGTGACCGTCAGGCCTGATGAGGTCCCTCCGGGTTGTGAGGACAAGAACCGATACTCCAACGTCCTCCCATTGCCAGAGACCAGGGTCCCTCTGAAGAGACTCGGCAACGATCCTACTACGGAGTATATTAACGCCAACTTTGTTACGGTAAGTTCGTTGTATTAAAGGTTATGTTTGATATTTATATATTTTTTTATGTAATAGGTCGGCAAACGAGCGGAAGGGTTACCTGATGGTAAGCAATCAGCGCCGCCCATAGACACCCGCAACGGAGAACGGAGGAGTTACGAGTGCGTTGCCGACCTTTTAGGGATTAGGGATTGAGGAGGTATTGGGGGAGGGGAAGGATTGGGCCTCCAGTAGCCTCACTCACACGGCGAAACACAACGCTGTGATATTTATATAAACTGTTTAAACAATGGAATAAGGATTTTCCCGAGGAAATATTGTTACAATATTATTTCCAGTAAATATAAGAAGTTAATAGTATGTGTAGGTACTTTATGTTCAAGACATTGTTCATGTCCTTGGGCATTTGTTGGGCTCAAAGTTCATGTTATAAATCAGTTATTATTGTGCTTTCCAATGGTTAGTCATGGACTCATTAAGAATGTCTAATGCCAGAATGTAAATAATAAGCTCACATTCCTATTAGCTAGTCATGCTAGTCAGAGTGTTCGAAATGACACATACGTGTCGTCACGCCTTATGTTCTTCGATAGAGGAGCAGAGATGCTTTAAGGCCTCTTCTATGGAGACACGGTGCGTTGAGCAGCGTGTCGTGCGTTTTACAATTTGCACATTGCTTAATACCTATGTATCTATACTAATATTATAAAGAGGTTAAATTTGTAAGTTTGTATGTAGGGGGTAATCTTTGGAACTGCTGGTCGGATTGCCAAAACTCTTTCACTGATAGATAGCTACAATGTTCCTGAGTGCTATAGGCTATAAAACATCACGCTACGATTAAATGGAGCCGAGCAGCGGGTGAAACCGTGCGAGAGTCGTATATATTTGTGTTTGTGTTTGTGCGAGCGATACAATTGGATAAAAGTATTGTATTTGACTAGTTGAAAACTGCCGTATTGTCCTACTAACATTTCAGATTCCGTAATTTCTTCATCAGTCATACTTGCCGCTTAGATAGGGTCGGTTGCGAGGTAGTGAAAGTAAAAGTGTGGGAGAGCCATGCTTCGGCACGAATGGGTCGGCTCGACCGGAGTGATACCACGGCCTCACAGAAAACCGGCGTGAAACAACCACAGCGTTGTGTTTGGTCGTGTGAGTGAGGTTAGGAGGCCCAATCCTTCCCCACCCCCAATCCCAAAATCTCCAAATTCCTAACCCCTAAAAGGTCGGCAACGCACTCGTAACTCCTGCGTTGCGGGTGTCCATGGGCGGCGCTGATTAGGTATAGTACTTACCATCAGGTAATCCGTATGCTCGTATGCCGATCTATTACATAAAAAAAAAATGTAGGAAGTGAATAAGACAAACATGTGAATGAGAACGTTTTGTTTGATGTTAACCATTGTTATTTAATTTCAGGGCCCTGGCAACATTCGCAACTACTATATAGCCACCCAGGCGCCGCTCTCCAACACCGTCGTTGACTTCTGGCGTATGATATGGGAACAGAACTCGAGACTTATCGTCATGCTCACTGAGTACATGGAGAATGGAGTTGTGAGTTAACGCAGACTTTTTTAATCAATATGGAATTTTGGGATTTCAAAATTATTTAATAACATACATTTGCCTATTCTCACATAAAGAGGAACAGAGTAGCAAATCGAGATTATTCGAGGTTTATTTTTATTGCTGTCCTATTTTTTCTGTAGCTACATTCTCTTTGTCTTTGTTTTTGTCGAATAAATGTGTTTTCTTTCTTTCTTTCTTTCTTCTTTGCTCGGCGGATTTTACGACAGACATAACAATCAAATTCTTTATATTTACAGGAAAAATGCTACGAGTACCTTCCACCATCAGAAATATCGGACAACAAGCGTATGTTTGGGAACTTTAAAATTATCCTAAAGAAGCGAGAACAACGAGACAAGTATGCGATATCCAGTGTCCAGCTCATCAACCTGGAGACCAGGACCTGGAGGGAGATCACTCACCTGTGGTACTTCTGGCCTGCTAAGGGCGTCCCTGATGACTACGACTCCGTTATAGATTTCTTAGGTGAAATGAGGAGTTACATGAAAATCGCACAAACTGCCAAGGAGTATGATGAAGAAGGTAAGATATGAGAATCTAGATTAATCAGATAAGCAGTACACGGCATATTTTGAGGGGTTTAGGGGTTTTTTCCAAACCTTTTTTCTGAGGGGAATATCATCGAATGTCTTCTTCACCCAGGGTGGGAAGAGAACTCATTCGATGAGAGGGACTTTTAGACTCTTACTGACGCCCTCGTTCCTTCTTTTGCTCTCTTACTTTTCTTGCGATTTACGTTTTAATATTTTTCTTTTCTTTATCTTCTAGGTGTTGAAGTCATATACGGCGACCAGAACCGATCGTCCTTCAGCAATCTCTCTAAGTTGCGAAGTGATGAAGGTGGCTCCGGTAATGGCGTCAACGTATACTCACCAGCTCGTGCCGAGGAACAGCTAAGACGAGCTGCCCCTACCAATGGCACTCTTGGAAGAATGAAGGCAGCTTCTGAAGTTGAAGGTAATATGCAGCTTGCTTTAGGTTCAATTTGAAAGAAATCATATTTACACAACGGAACAACTCTTTGTGTTATCTACAAATTGTTGTTCCTGGTCTGGGTGTGTGTGTATGTGAATTTATATGTCTGTAAACGCACCCACGACATAAGAGAAAATCCTAGTGTGGGGCAACGTTTAAAATAAAACCGTCTAAAAAAATAATCAGATCCATAAATGGTTGTTCCGGGTCTGGGTGTGATGTGTATGTAAAATTGTATGTTCGCAACCGCACCCACGACACAGGATAAATCCTAGTGTGGGAGAACGTTGTTTTTCAATAAAGTATATTTTTTATATAGTTTATAACCAGAATATAGTTTTAAGAAGTCCCTGTAGTTTCTCTAAAGACCAAATCTTATGTTGGTTTATGTTTAGGTATCCGGCCATGCGTGGTGACATGCGCGTCGGGCGCGGGTAGGTCGGCGGCGCTGATGGCGCTGGACGTGTGCGCACGCGCACTGCCGGCGGCGGCCGACGTGCCGCGCGTCGTGCGCTCGCTGCGCGCCCAGCGACCACACTCGCTCTCCAACAGGCACCACTATATCTTCGTCTACAAGGTAACTTTGGCTTCTTAAAGATTCTTTATTCATTCCTATATTAGAATCGAGTATATTAGTGGTCACTGCTGATCAAAGCCTCCTCTCACACGAAAAAGGTTTGAGCATTATTCACCTGCTTGCTCAAGGGAAAATATATTTAGAATTCGAAATCTAGATCTTAGAGAGAAATGCGGAAAAGGTCATATTAGTACTTTGCAGGTTTCTACTCTTCTTATTATGGTACCAGGTTACCTTAATATATAAGAGGTGTAGCTATCTATAAAATATGCGGTGAAAAAAGGATCCGTTTTCTCACCTAAGAGTCTTAATAGTACCAAGCTATCTACCAACATTTAATTTCCTAATAACTGCTTTATTGATTTCAGGTGCTAAGTGAATACGGCAACAAAATGCTAGGCGGTGGTGTAGACACTATCTGAAACCATGGACTTCCCCAGACAAGAACTTTATTCGTACCCATGACAACGCTGGCGTATGTATCTCAAACCTAGTGTATAGCCAGCCTTAGTTTAAAAATAAACTATTTGGAACATACCAAAGTATAAGTTACAAGATCTCTAGAAAATTGATCGCTCAAATTAAAAAGTAATGAATTAAATGAGAAATTATTATTTTTTTAATATAATATTATTTTCATGTTTAATCTGTGGATTTATAGATTTATACTGATTCATGATAATTTCGCATAATTTTAAAATTTTTAACGAAACTTGTACATAAGATTATTTTAAGTAAGTTTTATTTTTTGTTCGAACAATTTAATTTTTATTTATTTTTAGGGAATCATTCCACTAGTCTATCGATATTTCGGTTTTCCTAGGTAATGTTGTAAGCATAATTTCAATCACAATTAATAAAAATGTATTTAAGCGTCGTTTATTAAATTTTGCTGTGATTTCTACTAAAATCCTAGTTTTATACTTAAACTAACATTACCATAATATATTTAAGTGGATTAGAGAAAATCTTTTTATAGTAAAATAACAATTTTAACTATGCATGACAGTATTATCTAATGGCAACTCTGGTTTAAGCTTGACATTGTTTGTGTTGCCATTTCTTTTTGTTTTGCATTGTTATTTTGTGCACTAGCAATAATGAATTAAAATACTCTGTGCTACTTTTAAAAAATAGTAAATAATCCGGTGGTATTTGAATATTAAATTGTTAATGATTTTTTTGTTATATATGGTATCTATTTATTGTTGAAATATGTTGTTAATTTTTTATTTCACTTTACCGTTTGGTCTCCATACACTAATTAGCGCTGATTTTTTAATAGTCAGACAAATGTTATCCGAGGATTAAAATTGTTGCTGTCACTGTCTTATACAAACATTCTGACGCGATAGCATCATAATTATACCCCGGCTAACTTTTATCTAACCATTGAAATATCAGCCCTTGATTACACACCGTGTAATATTTTTAACTGCAATGTAATTTTAATTATCAGTTTCTTGAAAATCGTTCATTCAACACACATTTCTATAGACACTTCATGGAGGTCTAAATACTTTTTTTTGTTAAATAAAAGTCAAAGCATTTACATAATTAGTTACAAGTGCACTGTTTTATCCCACACGTTATTAGTTTTTAAGTTTTAGACAATATTTTAGATTATGTATCTTATTAACTATATTATTGACCAAAAAAATTATATATTACATTGTATACGTCCTACAATCGATATTAAGGTCTTTATTGAGAGTAAATAAATTCTATTGTAATAATAACACAATGATTTTATCTACCAGTCCCTAGCAACCCATACCCATAAATAACCCTTTCAATTATTACCACATTTCGTACAGTGCCGCCGACATATCTTGGCGAGTCTGAAGTTAGCCGATTAGCTACGCAGTACACACTATTGTTCCTAAAAGATCCATTGCGCAGACAAACGGCTAACTTCAGACTCTCCTAGTTACGTCGGCCGTACTGTAATAGTCCTACATTAACCGGGGATTATCCTTGGGTGCATTTTCATAGCGCATACAGGGATAATTGCCAGCTGATGTCCCATTTCACTTATATTAAAGTTGTTCAACGGCCTCTATGACTTAGCTTAGGCCCCTCGTACGCCTTCAAAAGGTCTGGAATCCTGGGATCCCGTGAACGGAAACGAACACACAAATAAGTACTATGATTTTATTTTAAATTCTTCTAAAGTACACGCATAACATTGGAATTTACCAACTACACTGACACGGGCAGTTCTGTACTGAACTTGACACAGGTGTCCTCATGAAGAACTTGCACAAATTTGATCATAGACAGACTGAAACCCGAGAGATGATCTCCGGCCACCGTAAGCGCGGGTCTGCGGACGGCGAGTAAGGGTAGCTCGCCGCCCGACAAGAACCGGACCCGAGCGTACGGCGCGTAGCGTTCCGCGCGCGCCTCAAGAAGCCAATAGACCACCACAGTCGGGGCCCTAAAGGGCTGATGTTTAGCCGGGGCTGCGGGGTAAGCGCAATGAGGCACCGCGACCTTGGCCCAGAGCAGGAGAAGGAACGGGGGGGGGGGGGGGGGGGGGGGGGGGTTTAGTCAGTAAGAGTCTGACACTCTCTCTCACCTTACCCTGGGCGGGAGAAGTCATTGGATGATTTTTTCCCCTGACAAAAAAAAAAACAAAGACAGACTGAAACCGCTTTTCTTCTAGGACATTTGACAGAAAAATTCTAAGTGTATCACAAATGAGTTTTATCTTTCAGATTACCTGATGGTAGCAATCAGTGCCGCCGTTGTTTTTGAATAAAGTATATTTTTTATATAGTTTATAACCAGAATATGGTTTTAAAAGTTCCTGTAGTTTCTCTAAAGACCAAATCTTATGTTGGTTTATGTTCAGGTATCCGGCCATGCGTGGTGACATGCGCGTCGGGCGCGGGTCGGTCGGCGGCGCTGATGGCGCTGGACGTGTGCGCACGCGCACTGCCGGCGGCGGCCGACGTGCCGCGCGTCGTGCGCTCGCTGCGCGCCCAGCGACCACACTCGCTCTCCAACAGGCACCACTATATCTTCGTCTACAAGGTAACTTCGGCTTCTTAAGGATTTTTTATTCATTCCTATATTAGAATCGAGTATATTAGTGGTCACTGCTGACCAAAGCCTCCTCTCATACGAAAAAGGTTTGAGCATTATTCACCTGCTTGCTCAAGGCAAAATATATTTAGAATTCGAAATCTAGATCTTAGAGAGAAATGCGGAAAACTTCATATTAGTACTTTGCAGGTTTCTAGCCCGTGTTCTTCTTATTAAGGTACCAGGTTACCTAAATATATAAGAGGTGGTAGCTATCTTTAAAAACATGCGGTGAAAAGAGGATCCGTTTTCTCACCTAAGAGTCTTAATAGTACCAAGCTATCTACCAACATTTAATTTCCTAATAACTGCTTTATTGATTTCAGGTGCTAAGTGAATATGGCAACAAAATGCTAGGCGGTGGTGTAGACACTATCTGAAACCACGGACTTCCCCAACAAGAACTTAATTCGTACCCATGACAACGCTGGCGTATGTATCTCAAACCTACCGTATAGCCAGCCTTAGTTTAAAAATAAACTATTTGGAACATACCAAAGTATAAGTTACAAGATCTCTAGAAAATTGATCGCTCAAATTAAAAAGTAATGAATTAAATGAGAAATTATTATTTTTTTAATATAATATTATATTCATGTTTAATCTGTGGATTTATAGATTTATATGATTCATGATAATTTCGCATAATTTTTAAATTTTTAACGAAACTTGTACATAAGATTATTTTAAGTAAGTTTTATTTTTTGTTCGAACAATTTAATTTTTATTTATTTTTAGGGAATCATTCCACTAGTCTATCGATATTTCGGTTTTCCTAGGTAATGTTGTAAGCATAATTTCAATCACAATTAATAAAAATGTATTTAAGCGTCGTTTATTAAATTTTGCTGTGATTTCTACTAAAATCCTAGTTTTATACTTAAACTAACATTACCATAATATATTTAAGTGGATTAGAGAAAATCTTTTTATAGTAAAATAACAATTTTAACTATGCATGACAGTATTATCTAATGGCAACTCTGGTTTAAGCTTGACATTGTTTGTGTTGCCATTTCTTTTTGTTTTGCATTGTTATTTTGTGCACTAGCAATAATGAATTAAAATACTCTGTGCTACTTTTAAAAAATAGTAAATAATCCGGTGGTATTTGAATATTAAATTGTTAATGATTTTTTTGTTATATATGGTATCTATTTATTGTTGAAATATGTTGTTAATTTTTTATTTCACTTTACCGTTTGGTCTCCATACACTACTTAGCGCTGATTTTTTAATAGTCAGACAAATGTTATCCGAGGCATAAAATTGTTGCTGTCACTGTCTTATACAAACATTCTGACGCGACAGCATCATAATTATACCCCAGCTAACTTTTACCTAACCATTGAAAAATCAGCCCTTGATGACACACCGTGTAATAATTTTAACTGCAATGTAACTTCGAATTATCAGTTTCTTGAAAATCCTTTTCGTTTCTTCAACACACATTTTTAAAGACATTTCATGGAGGTCTAAAAACTTTTTTTGTTAAATAAAAGTCAAAGCATTTACATAATTAGTTATTACAAGTGCACTGTTTTATCCCACACGTTATTAGTTTTTAAGTTTTAGAAAATATTTTAGATTATGTATCTTATTAACTATATTATTGACCAAAAAAATTATATATTACATTGTATACGTCCTACAATCGATATTAAGGTCTTTATTGAGAATAAATAAATTCTATTGTAATAATAACACTATGATTTTTATTTTAAATTATTTTACAGTACCTACATGCATAACATTGGAATTTACCAACTACACTGACAAGGGCAGTTCTGTACTAAACTTGACACAGGTGTCCTCATAAAGAACTTTGAACAGACTGAAACCGCTTTTCTTCTAGGACATTAGACAGAAAAATTCCAAGTGTATCTTCGTTAAATCACAAATAAGTTTTTTCTTTCGGATTACCTGATGGTAAGCTATCAGCGTCGCCCATGGCTGCAACATTAAAAGAGTAAAGGTTTCGGATATTTAATTTAAGGATTGGGAAGGGATGGGGCATGCCCAATCGTAACCTCACTCACACGGCGAAACACAATGCTGTGGTTGTTTCACGCTGGTTTTCTGTAAGGCCGTGGTGTCACTCCGGTGCAGCCGACCCATTCGTGCCAAAGCTTGGCTCTCCCACACTTCCAAAATTAATAATGAATTGAGAATACAACTGCAATAAGAAAAAGATACTGACTAATTTATTTGTTCTTTATCCACCACCTTCTGATCCGTAACTTTAACCCTATCTTCTTTCGATTCGCTACCATCACTGTTTCCTATTTCAGTGTCTCCATCATAACTGTCTTCTTTCTTCATATGATCAGGTCGATAGAATATATCTTCTTCAGACAATATATTTTCAATAGATTCAGAGTCATGAAACAGATAATTATTTGATGGTCCATAAAACATATCTGCATTGGCAGTATTATTCCCTTTATTCGGCGCATAGTATAGTTTATCTTCTGCCACTATGGATAAATGTGGGTTAGGATCAGTATAGTCTATGCAGCCATGCTCTCTTTCTGGAGTCTCTATCAAGGAGGATAGAACATCGTCGTGGACGGAATACGGCTTGAGCGCTGGTAGTGTCAAAAATGATCCAGCGACTGATGTTGAAGATATTGTTACCAAACCTGGGAAAAAGTGGTGCGAAATGTAAACGGTGTTTCTACTAGAAAATTGTCAGGATTTTGTTTTGGGGTATATAAAACCAATGTGTTGCGTCTCGCCGTATTAAAAATAGAGAGGTTACTGGAAGCCTAATTCCCAAAATATGTTTTTCAACTACGGAGACAAGCATATTCAACCAAATAAACAAACTCTTCGGGTTTATAGACGCTAAATGTTAGTTTGATATGCTTGGTTGGACCTACTAAACAACAAAACCCAGGAATCAGTTTTTCCAGCTTTCACGCAAGAAAATAGACTCTGGTAATATATGGTGAATCTGTTTTGATTTTTCACCAGACAATGCTTTTACTTAGACGTCTGTGTTGACTTCCCCTCTTACGAGATAATCTCAAAAAATTCAAAAATAATAAAAAAAAATCAAGAGTATTTGGATATCTGCTACTTTAATGAACTTTGGTATTTTTATGACATAGGTCGGCAAACGAACAGAAGGATCACTTGATTCCTCTGATGGTAAGCAATCGCACCGCCTAAAAACTGCGTTGCCGGTCTCTTGACGGTTATAAGGAGTTTAAGAACAGAGAATGGGGACAGGATTGGGCCTCCCGTCTTCACATGGCGAAGCACAATGTAAGTGTTGCTTCGCGCCGGTATTCTGTGAGGCAGTGTTATCACTCCGGTTGAGCCGACCCATTTGTGCCAGAACATGACTCTCCCAAACTTAAAAAATGCACACAGAGACATACATAGAATGCGACCAATAAAAAGGTTAAAGGTTACAAGGTTAAAATTAGACTATACATAGTATATGGCTTACGTTTCTCATTCATGGCTGTGGACAGCGCAACGTCTGGGTCCTGGCAAAAATAAAACATCAGAAATTTTATTTATAATTTTAGAGTACAAAATTTACTGAAAATAAAGACTTATCTACAAACGTGAATGACGAACACAATGCTCATGAACAAGAGCCCCGTAGTGATTTGAAACTAGTAGAGCTTTCCTCAGTTAATTCACGTGAGTAAGGTTCTATCTATACTAATGTTGTAAAGAGAAAATATTTGAATGCTTTTTTGGATTGAAAAACCCAGTCGATTTGAAAAATCTTTCAATATCAAGTAAGGTACAATGTTGTTGGTGAAGACAGGTTTAACGGACAATATTAATTAAAGGACAATATTATAAAGAGGTAAAATTTGTAATAGAGGAAGATCCCAGAGCTCCCAGACGTCACTTATTTTCTGATGGACAAAATATATACGAGTGAGTAGTGGTGGGGTGTGCTATGATCATATGACTAGTTGCTACCTTGGCCAGACGGCCATTTTTCAGGTAGCAATTAATCAAGGTACATAGAAATACTGCTCACTTCACTTAAATTCTGATAGCTGATTTTAACATATATTTCACACAATATCGTTAAAAATCAGGATTCATTACTCCCAGACACATGCGGTCGGCGGTTTTACCTTACAGACGCTTCAAAGCTATTAAAAAAATTAATTAAGGTCACTTATTTCCTGATGCTTGATTTTTATATATGTTATTCAAACAACTATTTTAAAACGTTTTGCAAACGGACAGACCGATCCAAGGGGCCAAACATTCACCAGACCCAATTTTCATGTCGCTGAGAGTAGGGGTACGGGCATTATCCGTGCGCATAAGTGCGAGTGAGACAGACATGAGTGTCATTGCTTCTCTCCTTCTATTCGGTTTACTCTTACCCACTAGTTCGTCCATCAAATTTCACGAAAGAGTTAAAAAATATCCGCTTGTAACAGGCTCTCGTTGATTTCTTCATATTGCACTGGACTAGTGAGGAGATGATTCCATTCATTGGTAATAATCAAGTTTTCATTAATTTTCGACAATGTCACTCTTTCACCGTGAGTAATAATAAAGTTATGTCTGAAATCAATGAAGATTTATCGTGTCCCCAGCATGAGGAAGCTGATACAAAGATTGTTTATCATGTTTGCAACACTGATGCTCGAGCTAATTTTGTGATACGATGTTCAGATACGGATATTGCAGCGATAATGCTAGGAAATATGCATCATTTAAAAAATGATGAGTCACACGTGTGGATATTAACCGGCACTAGTAAAAATCAGAGATATGTTGATATTAGCAGTATCTACAAACAGTTAGGACCGTCGTTATGTCGAAGTCTACCAGGATTCCATGCTATTACTGGATGCGATTATAATCCCGCATTTTTCAAAAAGGGAAAACAAAGGCCGTTTAGTATTCTTAAAAAAAATAAAGAATACCAACAAGCATTTCTCACCTTTGGCACGTTGAATTTGGTCGATGATGTAGACGAAGAAGAACGTGTATTCAATATAGTACAAAGATTTATATGTGATGTTTATAACGTACCAGGAGTAATGGATGTAAATGCTGCCAGACTTCAGCTGTTTATTAATATACATATATGGTATGTGATGTTAATGAAAAATTTATGCAAAAAAATATGAAAAACTTCGATGCTACTAACTTACCACCTTGTAAAAGCGAACTTCGGCAACAGTTTCGACGAGCTAACTATATTGCTAGTGTTTGGAACAATGCTAGTGCAAAAATGATTAATATTCTCAATCCCGAAAATTATGGCTGGACATTAGAAGATGATAAATATCATTTTCATTGGTTTGATGGAGATCAATTGCCGGATTTTGTCAGTCAGTCCTTGGAGGAAGAATTAGGTAATTTATTTTAGCTTCTCATAATTTTGATGTCTTTAGTTTTCCAAATCTTAATTGGTTGGTTTGTTTTTACTTTTTTACAGCGAAAAAGCCCGAGGAAAATACTGATGAACAAGATGATGATTTAGATATTCAATATCAAGATAGGATCGATGATGAATTACCTGACTTCAACGATGATGACAATGAAGATTATAAGCCAGTCGAATATTTACAAATTAATCTTACAAACTTATGTAAAAAAATATTTGTCGAATTTTGGTAGTTTTTTAAGGTTCGTTACAAATAAATAATTATTTGAAAAGGTTGCTGTTATTTAATTAAATTATTAATACTTTGTAAACCTTTTGATATTTACAATAAAAATTTAAAATGAACTTACTTAAAAAAAATTAAATTAATAAAACAGTTTGTAAGGTACAATTGTATAATTATTGCGGTCAGATGAGCACTTTTCTCAAAGTTAATCTTTGATTATTTACGTGATTTTCAAATAGAAGGAGAGAAGCAATGACACTCATGTCTGTCTCACTCGCACTTATGCGCACGGATAATGCCCGTACCCCTACTCTCAGCGACATGAAAATTGGGTCTGGTGAATGTTTGGCCCCTTGGATCGGTCTGTCCGTTTGCAAAACGTTTTAAAATAGTTGTTTGAATAACATATATAAAAATCAAGCATCAGGAAATAAGTGACCTTAATTAATTTTTTTAATAGCTTTGAAGCGTCTGTAAGGTAAAACCGCCGACCGCATGTGTCTGGGAGTAATGAATCCTGATTTTTAACGATATTGTGTGAAATATATGTTAAAATCAGCTATCAGAATTTAAGTGAAGTGAGCAGTATTTCTATGTACCTTGATTAATTGCTACCTGAAAAATGGCCGTCTGGCCAAGGTAGCAACTAGTCATATGATCATAGCACACCCCACCACTACTCACTCGTATATATTTTGTCCATCAGAAAATAAGTGACGTCTGGGAGCTCTGGGATCTTGGACTATAAGTTTGTAAGTTTGTATGTAATGTTTGGCACCGCTGGTAGGATTGCCAAAATTTCTTTCACTGACAGATAGCTACAATGTTCCTGAGTGCTATAGGCTATAAAACATCACGCTACGATTAAATGGACTCTAACAGCGGGTGAAACCGCGTGAGAGTAGCCAGTTTTCAATAAATTCAGTTATATTGTTCAGTTCAGTTCAGAATCTAATCCATCTAAGAATCAGTATTTTACAGAACGATTATGTTTTTACGAATCAATTTATTGTACCTCGGTCCAGTTCGTATTGTTTCCAGACCATGCTTCTTCAGATGAGGTTGGCCGTGGATAGACTGTGTCGTGAGGGTTGAGAGGTGGTACAATATTAGGGTCTACCAGACCATCAACTTTGTCGGCAGGCTTCGTTACTTTAGGTATTCCCAATTTACAGTCTCTTCTCACACCATAAGCTCTGTAGGCACTCTGTTGACAGAAACAAAAATTGAGAATGAGAATAGCCTTAATACTATCTTTATTAAGGAAAGTTTCTGGCTAGAAAGTGCTGGGCAACTGGCTGTCGTTCGATTCCTGCATGGAATAACTCTTTGATCCACAAATTGTTGTTTGGGGTTTGGGTGTGATGTGTATGCAAAACTGCACCAACGACACCGGATAAAATAGACAGTGGTGCAATGATTTTCTAAAAACAAACCGGGAAATACTTATAAAAAATCAATCTTGTTAATACGATATATTTTAAACAGAGTCAGGGACCGAAAATTTCTTAATACCATACCTGTATTTTTCGTGCCATTATTTCATATTTTATCTGATCAGCTGATGCTGCCTGCCTATATAGGTTCAGAGTATGTTTGGCTGCACACTTAACGCTGTCTTTCTCTGAATCCGATGATGACTGGAAATAACATAAAATATTTACTTGTAGATCCAGACTTTCAGGCTGCTGTTCATTTAAGTTATCGAATGGAAACCTTTCAATCGTGGTAATTCGAAACGCAATTGATGAACAACAGGTGCGAAAACGCCGGCGTTCACTTGGGGGTTAATGAGTTAAACGTTACACTAGTAGGTACTAAGAAAGACTCCCATCCTATTATGAGCAAAGCTTAAAAATGGAGATATCAAGTAAATTAATTTTGTTTAGAGAATTGTTCCGGTATCTAGAAGAGAAATCAAATCAAGGCAGGATTTAGCCTAAATAGTGCAAACCGTAACCGTATGCTCCACAATGTCGCCCGTGGCGGAATGGCTAGAAGTCGTGGTAAGAGGAAGTTTATTTATTTTATTTATATATTCTTTATTGCACACAACATTAAAATTTAATACAAAGAGCAGGCTAACAATCACAGAGTGTACAATGGGCGGTCTTATCACTCACGGTGATTTCTTCCAGACAACCTTTGGATGGAAATTAAAAAGTGAAACTGGAAATGGGCAGTCTAGTGCACAATAAATACGGGAGAGAGAAAAAAAGAAAAAAATAACAATATAAATAACGTATACACTTACATACAGACTCATACACATATATACATACATCAAATAATATATACACATATACATACATATTACATAAAATATTATACACGTATCCAGTATATATATTTGTGTGTGTGAAGTTGTAAGTTATATGTTACTAATGTGCGCGCTTTACCTCAAAAATAGCAGATTTTTGCGCCTGACGTCTCATGAACGCACTGCGGATGACTTCCTGAATTGCCGGGATCATGTTCTCGTCTATATCGGTATTTTCCAGCAGTTTCGTCAGGAGACTGGACTCTTTTACTATGACAGAAAGAAAATTATAGAATCTTCGAACAGAGATAAATTAAAAAGTTGCCAAGGGCAAAACATAGAGTGCACTGTGTTCGAGTTAATCGAACACTCAGCGAAAATGTATAACTGGGTCGATTTGAGTGAATCGAACACTCAGCGAAAATACATAATTGCATCGATCGCAAGTATGCACATTCGCTAGATTCCCACAATATCAGACCAGTTCGCGATTAGATCTCTTTTGAGACACCACGCACTCAAAACCACAACCATTACCATTTAACCATTACCAATAAGTAGTTATATAGTTTACCATTTTACTTTATAACTCTTTATAGTGATTCAATATAACTGTTTCCACTTTAATTGAAGACTTTAACTTTAACCAAATAAACCATTACCATATCAATACGAAAAAGTTGTGCTAGGTCACCATAGTACCGAGCGCAGCTTTTTACACACTGAACGTCTCCCATCTGGTCTGCGAACTTTATTGCTAAGCGCAATTTATATAAGAAGATAGGTATACAAAAAATATGGGAACGCTGCGGTGAAACACTGATCGACCAACAGATCAAACGTCGCAAGTGGAATTGGATCGGCCATACGTTCCGAAGGGACCCCGATCACATTCCGAGGCAAGCCTTAGATTGGAATCCTCTAGGGAAGCGAAAACGTGGTCGCCCTAAATCACAGAGGCAGCGACTATAGACAGGCTGTGACGCGAAATAAAGCGCCAAGCTCAAGAACGGACGCGGTGGCTGAGCACTGTGGATTTGGATGGATGTCCCATCTAGGGGATATAGGACTCCAAGTCCCTCGTAAAAATCACTTCAACATGAACAAAGTAACTCACCATGATCTTTAGCAAAATAATTGACAATGATATTTTTTGCAGTCTCTATATCGTCCTCGAACACGCCTATTTGTCTCAGTTCAGTTTCCAACTCTAGTTCACATCTACAATTTGATAAGTTTTCGCAAATATGTCCAGCAATGGAAAGGTTTTCTCGCGTTACTAACATGGCTGCCAGGTAGTCGGTTATGAACTTGTACAGATCCCTTGGTTGGTATCTTAGGACCTAAGCAAATGGAACAATTTACAAAGAAATTTATCACAACAAAATTTTAAAAAACTCAGTAAAGTGCACATTGTCAAGTGCCCAGTGCTGAGCAAAGGTCTCTTCCGGAGCAAAGGATAAGGTTTGAGCATTAATCACCACGCTTGCTCAAAACGAAATGTCGATTTCAAACTTATAATTAGATATTATAAGTTCAGATTTCTTCACGATATTTCTGTTTGATGCATAATGATGACGGTTTGTCTGTGGTGGCTAAATAATCATAGAAAGTACGTATAGCTCGGAAAAAGTCACATTGGTACTTGTCAGGTTTTGAACCCGCACCCTCATGCATGAGAAGCGGGCGCCTTGACCTCTGAGCCACTATACATATAAGTATTTTGACAGTATATGCAGGTTTTTGTTTGTTATCACTGGATAGTGAAACTAAGCATTTGATCTGCTCGTCTTGTAATTCAAATTTTATTAGATTTCAAGTTTCGCAACAACGACATCTTTAGAATCCCCCTTTGACTATTTTTCCAATATTTTTTTACATTAAAGTTTATTGCTCGTTTCGGGCTAGCTTAATTTGGGACAAAAAATACTTCCCACTTAAAAGTTAAAACATTGACAAACATTACATACATATTTAATAATAATACGATATCGACTAACCTCTGGTGCTGCGTGTATCTATGGGCAACGCTGATTACTTACTATTAGGGGATCTAATTGTATTAGGTGGACCAGGCAAAGCGAAAGCAAATATTTCTGATCAACCCCATACCATGGAATGATCAGGAATTAAGATAGATTGAGCAACTAGCTAATAATTTAGATAGAACATACCTCTCTAGAAATATCACTCATAAGTTCTCTCAGACCATTAGGGAGACCTATCTTGCAGCTTTCCTTAATTTGTGAGGACAATAAATCATCCATTCTTGGTGTTTATAGTCAGTATATTGAAATAAATGACAATGCCAAACGTAACATGTGTGTAATTCTAGTGAGTCATGCCACTCAGTAAAAAACAAATCTATTGTTTCATGCATTTGCACTAAAAATTTTAATCAATTTATAAAACAATCAAAGGTTTCGTATAAAGCGTTTGCTGACACAAAATTTAAATAATATTATACGCTATACTGCTAAATATAAAGATTTCTTTTTCTTCGTTTTCGTTTCGTTCGTTCATTCGTTTTCTTCGTCGACGGTACGAGCTGATGCCATTGCTTCCTCTGAAATAGAAGAAGTTAAATTAGAAAGAAGACTGGTTGCCACTACTTTTGGGTTTAGATAGTTTCACCGAGACGTTGGTCTTTAATCCCTAAGTAATTTTCTTTAGGGTATCAAAAGTACGTTCTCATGCTATAATTATTCCAGACAGTATATGTGTAGTTAATTTTTCTAATCCCTACCCACCCCTTATAGTCCTCCCCCAATTCCCAAATCCCCAAAAGGCTGACAACGCACCCACCATGGGCGGTGCAGATAGCTTACCATCAGATAAACCGCCTGCTCAGGTAATCACATATTAATTTGCCATCACTGTCACATACAAACAATAAATTCATCAACGATTTTATTTCGTAATACACGATCTGGACTAAAGACATCCTATTCGCAAATCAAAGCAACAAAAGCCTTAATTAAATTATCTTCATCGTCATTTAGTTTCAGTGACGTTAATTTTTAATACGAGTATTTGTCCATCATAAAACATTTATTTGTCAAGTCAAGTAATAGGCTTAGACTTTCTATCTGCACCTTTATGTAACATTGTAATTTTATCTTATCAATAACTTATTATGTAGATTTACTTCCTTGCATTTATCTTATTTTCTCACAATCACTATTGATATTAACCATATTGTTATTTCCATCTAATTATAAATTTGTATCTAATTCAATGCCTATGCAACATTCATATAATTATTTGGCTGCGTTGGTATTTTTTTATAGGAATGGAAAAAATAGGTATTAGGTATTTAGAAAGTTGTGTAAGTTGTTGACAGAAAAACAGAAAGTCGTTAAACAACGCAAGCGTTGTTTTACTGTGAGCCTGCAGTGTCACTTCTCTTCAACTAGCCCATTTTACCACTTTTAACTAAATAACTAGAACATGTTGTGTTTTGTATATCTATGAAAATTTATACAAAAATATGAAAAGAAGTAGTTGTGAAAAATTAACTAATTTGTTGACAAAAACTTGCCTACAAGTTCTTCGGGTATTTCGAAAGCTGCTGGTGGCTCGGGTGTAAGATTTAGTCCAGTAATCATCTCAGGTATTTCTAGATCATCCTCTTTAGGCGTCTTAATGATGAGCGGAGGAGACTGGATAACAAACGAAGCAAATTCAATCTTAATGTCATGATAATAAGTAGCGTTAATAACAAGCGACGTTTTAAAAATTCTGTAGACTGACCTCAGAAAATGAGATTCTTCGGTTGCTAATCGCTTTAGGTATTGGAGACGATTTTGTTTTCTCGATTTCGGTCAGAACGGAATAATCTGAAATTGCAAATTATATTAAACAATGGTTTCTATTAGTATCTGCTCTTAAGGTTTTGTTAGTATTAACTTTTCCCGAAGAGGCGTTATGCGTTTCTTTGTAGCCATTTCTTGAATTGTTGTTCAGGTGGCCCTAAAAGGCTCGAAAAAGCAAATTGAGAAATTTTCTATTTTTGGTTACAAACCTTCAGTTGTAGTTACACTTTGCTTCGATAGTGGCATTTCCAATATATCAAAAGCGGAACTTTTTGTTTTAGACTTCTTTGTCATTAGAAACTCATCGTCATCTGTATGCGTGATAGTTTTCATAGGGTCGTACTGCATTCCAAACTTTTGAATTTTCTCATCCTCGAACATTTTATTAACATCATCTTCTTTGATTTTAACGTTCTAGAACAGATTTAAATTATTCTTCTCATTTGTAAAAAAATGCTTTAGCTAAATCAATATAACTTTATTCAATCTTACTAATATTATAAATGCGAAAGTTACGATGTTTGGATGTTTGTTTCTCAATAACGCCAAAACAGCTGGACCGATCTGAATGAAATTTGGCACAGGCATAGGATACACTCCGGAATAGGACATAGTCTACTTTTGATGAACATACCACGCGGGCAGAAGCTAGTTCAGGAATATACTACGCTAAAGCCACTGCATAGTATGATAACACTTATAATTTATGTTAACATATTTTAATTAGCTTACTACAACTGGGCCTAGATCTATTTCCCTGGAGTGAGCGACATCTAGCGGTGGCCCCGGCATCTCATCCATGCGCGACCGCTTCCGCATTTTCTTGTCAGCCGTAAGGTGCTTCAGTACGTTTCTACGTAGATGGTAACCTCTGTACGCAGCCTTAAATTAGAAGGGAAACAAATAAATAACCAAAGATAAAAATGTTACATGTTCGAGCGCCTGATGATATTTACATAGCATAGCAACTTGCGATACCTTCAACTACAAAGAATTTGACTATAAGCCACTTTCTATACTTAACTCTATAGTTCACACCCATTAAAGTTATTAATTAATTTTAAAACCGTGTTCGAGTATTTCCCCTGAAGTCCATCCACCATCACGCTGGTTCTGCACATGGTCCGTATGTGTCCGATTCCGCACGAGAGTACGATTAATTTGGAAGCATTTTTATGGCATTACGTCGGCAAAATGAGCAGACGGATTACCTGATGTAAAAGCAATCGGCACTGACCATGGACAGTCGTAATACAAGTACATTTCTGGTATTTTGTGGGCTATTAGGGATAGAAAGGTAGGAAGGTGGTTGGTTTTTTTTTTGTGAGGGGAAAATCATCAAATGACTTCTCCCGCCCAGGAACGGGCGGGAGGGAGTGTCAGACTCTTACTGACTAAAACCCCCCTGTTCCTTCTCTTGCTCTGGGCCGAGGTCGCGGTGCCTCATTGCGCTTACCCCGCAACCCCGACTGAACATCAGCCCTATAGGGCCTCGTCTGTGGTGGTCTATTGGCTCTTTGAGTACACTCAGGCCTGGTTCTGGTCGGGCGGCGAGCTGCCCTTACTTGCCGACCGCGGACCCGCGCTTACGGTGGCCGGAGATCATCTCTCGATCCCCGACGCCCGGAATGTCGCCTATTGCGGCGGCTGGGGCGTGAGGAGGAGGATTTGCTCCCTCTTTGCGAGAAGGTAGTTGGGTAAGGATGAGACCTTTAGTAACCTCACTCACAAGGCGATACACAATGCAAATGTTGTTGCACTTGTTTTTGGTATTCTGTGAATCCTTGGTGTTACTCCGCTCGAGCCGGCCTATTCGTGCCGGTACATGACTCACACTAACCGACAGTAATGGTCTTTAACGCTTAGCTCAGTTTTTTGTCATTTGTTGCTCATGCGCATAACAATATTGTGCGTACTTGAATCCTCTGCGTAGCTCGATGTAGTTCACTGATAGATGGATTTGTCTTCTTGTAAATTTCTAGCGTATGCTCAGCAGCCTTCTCCCACGCTTCCTCTGGCGTTATTTTTAGGTCCTGGAGATAGTACATAAAGTTTTCATAATTAATTATAACCTATCGAGTTATTTGTTATTTAATAATTGTTATTGGTATACGGCTTTTTTACTATTTACAGTTTACACATTAATCCAAAAGTAAGTTGTAATTAAACTGGATCTTTTAGCAATGAAATTGTACTGCGTGAGACATGAAATTTAATTTATAAGTTTACCTTCTTCATCAAATTCTTTCTGTACCAATAGTCTCGGTAAGCATTCCTTGCTAAATCGCATATTTTCACTGACATATCTTCACTAAGAGGGTAACGATTAAGGATTTTCTTCAAAATTACCTGTTCTCTCACTTTTTCTGCAAAATATTGCATTAATTTTTATTTTTATTTTTACAGCAGAGCAGACGGATTGCTTGATGGTAAGCAATCAGCGCCGCCCATGGACACCCGCAACAGAGGAGTTACGAGTGCGTTACCGACCGTTTAGGGATTAGGGATTTGGAGATTTAGGGATTGAAGTGGGATTGGGGGAGGGGGAAGGATTAGGTCTCCGGTAACCTCACTCACACGGCGAAACACAACGCTGTGGTTGTTTCACGCCGGTTTTCTGTGTGGCCGAATTCTTAATTTTAAACGATTAAAAATGTATTAGAAAATATATTGTTTTTTTTCTTTACACATAAGATGAAGAAATTTTATCGTGCTACTGTAGTTTGTACGTGACTCCAATGCTTAATGCGGATGAAAGAATCGATGTTGTAAGGCAAGATTACGTAAAGTTTCGAAGCAAAGTCTGCATGCAAATATCACATTATCATCGTCTTGCGTTGCTATTCATATAGATTTCAGATAGAAGATCCATATAGATTTGGAAACCAGCGCAATGAATTTGCCTAAATCTATACTAATATTATAAAGAGGTAAAATTTTTAAGTTTGTATGTAGGGGGTAATCTTTTAAACCGCTGGTCGGCTTTCCAAAATTATTTCACTGATAGATAGCTACAATGTTCCTAAGTGCTATAGGCTATAAAAGATCACGCTACGATTAAATGGAGCCGAGCAGCGGGTAAACCGCGCGCGATAGTAGCTAGGACTAGGAATTAATTCATAATAAAGTAATTTACATACCTAATAATTTCATTGCCAATGATAATGTAGTACTACATAGGACTAGTGATGAGTGTTGGAAATAGGATGCCTTATTACAGAATAAGCAAATCTGAACCTTGTATCTACTAAAATAAGTGCTCATACCTTTTCCTTCCACAGGCTCGTGTCCCTCGATCTCAGTTTTAATAATAGTAGCTAATTCACTTGCTTCTTCTCTATTAAGGCCAAGTTGCAGCAAATGTTCTGACACAGTGGGGCGACAGTCGCAAAGCTCATCTAGTATTTTGACAGCCATGACCCCGTGCTCGCGGGTTATCAGTAGCGCTGCTAGGTAGTTGGCGATGAAATCAAGCAAATTGGCTGGTTGCCAACGCAGCACCTGTTTAAGAAGATATCAGGTATATAATTTATACTTCTACACGATTGGGCCGACTCGAAAGAAGAGACTACAACTTTATAGAAAACCGCCTAGAAACAAAATATGCATTGCGCTGTACTGCCTAGCCCCGTATCCCACTATCCATGGTCCCCTGTCTCCGTCTTCTGTCCCGTGTAACTACCCCTAATCCTTCTCTACGGTATTCTGGATTATGAACCACGTACCTTGTTCCCGGACCTCCGTTAGCCTTATGAGAAAATTGAATTTAGATACTAATATGGAATTCAGAACCTCGCTAATTATATTCAGATCACTGAGCCTGTAAGAACTTCTATCCGTATATCGCCCACATATAGACAACAAAATAATCGAAAAAGTAACTACTTTATTTCTAAAGGGTCTTACCTCACGTGTAATATCAGACATGAGCTCCTTAAGTCCTTCAGGGACGGAGAACACGTTGGAACAGCCATGCTTCTGCAGCAGCTCGTTCATTTCATTATTATTTTCTTTGGTCACTTCACTTCTTTTTTCCCTTGCTTTCAATTTGACAATGCTGACAGTATTTCTGTCACGTTTGGTTTTTTAATTTGTTTTCTTTTTCAATTGGTATACTAACGTCCTGCCCCGGCTTCGCACGGATGTAACGCTACTAAATCTCTATACTATTTAATGGATGTATATTTATTATACTTATTATACTTACATATAAACCTTCCTCTTCAATCACTTAATCTATTAAAAAACCCACATCAGAGTCCATTGCGTAGATATCTAAGTCAAAATCGATTTAAATGGAAATCTGTAAGATTTAGGCGTACCGATCTGGATCTGGATATAGGGACAGAGAAGAGACTTTTTTAGACTATGTAGTGATAAAGAGGATTTATTTAGATGACGTTTACCTTCTTTGAATCCTTTTTTACCTTCTTATGCGTTGATTTTAAGTGATACACGGGGGGCCAATTCCCGATTCTCCAGCATCATCAATTTGTTGATTTTTTTTTGTCCAGCAAGAATTCTAATTTGATATTTATCAATAGAATCGTGATTGGGTTGATAGACATTGCAATAGCTTAATACTAGGCAGGAACACACTCTAATAAACCTGAACCATTCCTTACCGCGAGCCTAAATCTGCTTGATAAGCGTGGAGATTGCATGTTATATAGTTCAGCAACGAATGGATTGATGTAAAGAATTGAAGGGTTGTAGTCCTTACAGACAAACATAGCGTTTTATAAAGCTACAGGCATTAAGGAGAGTTTGCGTCTTTGGTTTTCATATATTCAAACTATGAAGTCAAAAATCCAACCTATTTAAAACAGCTGACCCCGAGCGGCGTAAACGCTCTTAAAGTTATATGTACCTACGTTAAACCAGGAAGAATATAGATAACCTTATTGACACAGTGATATTTTTTATTAAATGATTCATTACGTGTTATTCTTATTATTTGGATAACAGAAATACGGTTACATTATATTAATTAAAAAAAAAAGTTGCCTCACTTTTAGATTTTTTGGGTCGTGGATGCGTTTACAAACATAGGTACAATTTCACATACACAGACGGCGGTAGAAGTCATTTGATGATTTTCCCCTAACAAAAAAAAAACTATAATTTCTGATATAAGTTTGAGTTTTGTTCAAACCTTCTCCGTGGAGTAGAGGCCTTTGATCAGGAGTGATGATGTAAACCACACCGACAGTTGAATGACAATTATGTTCTGTAAATGGTTAACCGCATTGAAAAGTCGCCTCGAGAGTCTCACTCACTTCACTTCCCATCTCGCCGGTACAAGTTTCGGTATTTTCATATCACGATCAAATGAAGTGAAATAAATTTCCGAAAACTCATGCAATATTGGTTTGTGGTAGGTATTACCGTAATTAATCACTGTGTTCAATCAATTTCTTAAAGATTTTGTACAATTTTTTTTGTAATTATAAAATTATTTATTGTTTTTGACTTTATTTTAGTTTCAATTCAATTCTTTTATTTTAATAATATACACTTTTAATATTAATATAATATTATCTGTATATTATTAAGTTACGAAACTAAAAATTTTATCTTAAAAAGTTTTGTAATATTTTTTGTTATGCAAGATATTATAGATAAAATATCCAACAATCTATGTAGGTATTACCAAATAATAAAATTGTGGAATGAATCGACACAAAAAAAGCACGTCAATAACTAAAACAAATTTAAAATTACAAGACCAAACTAAAAACGAAGAGTTTCCATGAAGTTCAATAGATGGCGTCGGCGTCGTATCACAACACGCTAAGCAATTGTTTTTAGACAGATTTAAATCCAAATCAAGACTTTTATTATTAGTATACATCGATCACTAATAAAGAACTAGATACACAATCAGTGGCAAAAAAATGTCCCAACTGAAAGTCCACCAAACTCAACATCGCGGTGTAGTTTTAGTTTAGTACCACTCGAATGCTCCGCCGGTAAACACGCCTCAGTGCTCGTTAAAAAACTGCAAAAACACACACATCTAAGATGCAAAAAAGGATGGAATTTCATATTTTCGTTAAGTAATAATATTATCATTACATAATTGTCATCATTCTATTTTAAATATTGATATTTTATTAAGAAATTAACTTTAAAACTTTTTCCAAATGAAATCGTATTCAAAAACCGGGGTTATAATGCACACAGTTTATAAAGACACTTATACTAAACGTAAAATCATTCTCTAGCATGACCACTTAAGTTGTTCGGTTTACGTGGATTGATTCTGTTCCGTTTAGCGGAGACGCTATTGTTCCTAATTTTATTTATTGTTTTTTTTTTTATTAAAAAATAGTTTTTATTTAATATTATAATTCTTTACTGTGTTTATTAAAATATGGAATAGGCAGATATAATGGATTTAATTTTAACTGCAGTAAAGACATTTTTTTTAGCTTTCATCAAAATCCCGTGCGATATGAAAAATTTACAACAATAACGCCAACATTTTCAGTACTTACTTTAGATATATATTCTTTTTATTATTTTACATCTTTTTTATTTGACTTCGAATAGAAATGATTAAGGAGGACGAAAATAAAAAAAAAGAATTATAACTATATGCATTAGTTTCATTGGTAAATAAATGAACAAACCTATAGAAAAGAATACTATAAGTAATGCGTTTTAATTTGCGTATTTTCTTTTTTTGATAAATTATAAAATACGAAAGAAATATATTTCTTACGAGACATTTCGACTCCAACCATTCTTTGTCCTAGCGGTGAGCCGAAGTCGTTAAATTTTATTGCTTATTTTTGACACTTTGTAAATTCGACTTAAAAACATGCGAATATGGTTCAATTTCTTATGATTTGTGTTTGTCAAGAGCTTCGGTCGCAAAAAGTATTAAGATTTTGTACATCACTTTGTAAAAACAACTCTATGAGTTGCATTTAAGGTTTAATTTACATTAATGCATTTTTATTTCAAGTATAAGTACCTAAATACAGTTGGCGACAGTTTTGAAGCGAACTTTTGTATGGGATTGTGTATCTAGTTCTTTATTAGTGATCGATGTTAGTATAACATATAGTTCGTTCCATAATTAGAGACAACGATTTGACATTTCGAGTGTTGCATGTTTTTTCCATTTCATTAATAGTGAAGTCCCGCGACCGGTATTAACCGAAAGAACGAAAATCATTTGTAAAACTATTAATTATTAGCATTGATATGATATAATTATTTTACAAGAAACTATAGTCAGCTTTGGCATTTCCTCACAGCAATTTGACAGATGGAATATCAAACATAATTTAAGCCTAGAAATACGTTGGTATTCGTTTCTATAATTATAAAAATAATGTCTGTCAGTCAGATTGTAATATCGCTCCCATCATCTCTGATATCTTCAAATTGCTTCGAGTTCATTTATTTGTGATAATCTTTAAGTTCTTTTTTAGCTTCATATGTTAATAACTAGGTACAATTATACTCTAAAAACATACCCAATTATTTTTTGTGTTGACTTACTTGACTTAATATTCTGTGTCCCCTAGATGGGGCAGAGGGCGTCCACTGAAGTTCTCCATCGCGATCTGTCTTGAGCTTCACGCTTCACCTCACTCCACGTCATACCGATGCTCGTCGCTTCTGCCAGTACGGTGCGACGCCAGGTTTGCCGTGGACGGCCACGCTTTCTTTTCCCTTGGGGATTCCAATCCAAGGCTTGCTTGGGTATGTGGCCAGGACCCCTTCGGAGCGTGTGCCCTATCCATCCCCACTTGCGGCGCTTGATCTGTCGGTCGATTGGGCTTTCGTGGCATTTCTCCAAAAGCTCTATGTTGGAGATTGTCTCGGGCCAGTAAATTCCGAGAATGCGACGCAGGCATCGGTTAACGAAGACTTGAAGTTGACGTGAGATGTCTTTGGTTACCTTCCACGTTTCGCACCCATAGAGCAGTACGGATTTTACATTGGACCCGAAGACTTTCAGCTTAATCCTTCGGGTCAGTTTCCGTGACTGCCACACAGGTCTTAGCTGCGCGAAAGTAGCTCGGGCTGTTGCGATCCTTGAAGTGATGTCCTCTTCAGTACCTCCAGTCTCTGACACGACGCTCCCGAGGTAGGTAAATTTGTGGACGCGTTCCACTGCCTCTGTGCCAATCAGCAACGGTGTAGGATTCTTCACACCCGCTCTAATTTCTTTGGTCTTTCGCGTGTTAATTCTTAGGCCAGCTTTTGCCGCCTCCTGCCGCAGGTCGTCCAGTTTTGCTTGCATGTCGGCGTGGGTATGACTCAGCAGGCATAGGTCATCGGCGTAATCCAAATCTTCCAAGCAGTTGGATAATCCCCATTCTATCCCGCGGCGCCGATTGTGAGTCGTGCGAAGCATGATCCCATCCAGAACGACCAAGAAGAGAAGCGGCGATAAGAGGCAGCCTTGTCGGACACCCGCGTGGACCACTATGTCATCGGAGATAAGGCCATCATGTGACACTTTACAGGAATAATTCCTATACATGCTCTCCAACAGCCGGACGATCTTTGGCGGAACCCCCAAGTCCAGCAGACGGGACCAGATGCTAGACCACTTCAACGTATCAAAGGCCTTTTCGAAGTCGACAAAGGTAAGATAAATCTCCCTTTGCCATTCTGTTGCCTGCTCTAGAATGATACGAAGAGTGTTGATCTGGTCCGTACATGAACGGTTCGATCAAAAACCTGTCTCCTATCTTTGCGGGTGCTGCGATAGATTTCTTTCCGCTTTTGACGATACTGTGCGTTCAGGTCGGCTCTTGTAGCGTCATCCTGGGCCTCAAGCAATCTCAGGTGAAGCCTTCTTCTGTCCTCAATCAGACTCCATGTATGCTGCGACATCCACTCTTCCCGCCAATGAGCCGTTCTGTGCCCCAGAACGACGGAGCTGGTCTCTGTATAGACCACTTTGATACGATTCCACTCCTCGTCTAACGAATCCCGGGCCGTATCAAGAGCAGCAAAACGATTGCGTAATTCGAGACAGAACAATTTACGCGTCTCGTGGTTATTCAATTTGCCGACCTCAAATCTTCTTCCGACCTTGCCAGTGCGTCCAGGTTTACGGGCTACAGCAACCTTGAGCCGAACTTCAGCAACTATGAGATGGTGGTCGCTATCAATATCGGCGCCCCTGCGGTTGCGGACATCAAGTAAGGAGGAACGCCATTTGGAGCTTATGGCAAGATGGTCAATTTGGTTCCTCGTGACGCCATCGGGTGACTTCCACGTGTACTTGTGGTGATCGCCATGATTAAATAAAGTTCCCCCGATGGTCAGATCATGATTCTGGCAGAACTCGATGAATCTCTCTCCGTTCTCGTTGCACACTCCAAGTCCCTGCGTGCCCATATGCCGTGTGCGGTTTGTGTTGTCAGTCCCGACCTTTGCATTCAGGTCTCCCATGACGATGACGATATCTTGTTTCTTTATTCGCCTCAGGGTGGCGTTGAGGGCATTGTAGAAATCGTCTTTAGTTTCTTCTGTTGCTGCATTGGTTGGGGCGTAGCACTGCACCATTGAGATTTTCCGGGCTCTGGAGTTGAAACGGGCGTATATGATTCGGTCTGAGATTGGTTTCCAGTCAAGGAGGCTATTTTTCGCCGCATTAGAGAGGAGGAGCCCAACGCCATGCTCACGTACATCTTCCTCGCTCTCTTTGCCTGAATACAGCAAAGTCAAGCCTCTGGTCGTTCTCAGCTCACCGAATCCATTTCTTCTCACTTCGCTTAGTCCGAGTATCTGCAGGTTGTAAGAAAGCATTACTGCTTCTGCTTGGGCTAGTCGGCTGTCCTCACTTAGCGTCCGCACATTCCAAAAAGCAATTCGTGTCCGTAATTTCATGCCAAAAGTAGTCGTTGAAAGATCAGTCCGGTTTGCTTCAGTTTCGGTTTCCATAATCAAATATTTTCGAGCAAGCAGGTGATTAGCCCACTGTGCCTTAATCCGCTAGCGGGGCTGCCGCTTCAGAGCCTGCGGATATGCTTGGTTTTGTGTCAGGTTTCCTCCCTAGTGAGTCGATTCTGTTTTCAGGCGCAGAATACTCGCCTTGCGCCCTGCATCCGTTAGCTTAGCTGCAACTCAAGGTGGCGGTCGCGCGGCGGCGCGGTTGCAGTAGGTCCCAGGGAGGACGACGGGGACGTGGATGGCACGGACTGGCTAGGGCTCTGCTTTGTACGGTACTCCGCCACGAGTACAGCAGAAGGCATCTTGGCATTTTATAGGTAATGCTGCTCTTACTAACAGCGATTCCCACCAAACCTTACCCTAGCTTCCCCCCCCCCCCTTTTTTTGTGTTGCTCAGGGTAATTTATAAAAAAACGGTATCGGTATTTTAAAACATCGTACTCGGGTCCATCACTATGTTCAAAAATCTGGCCACATTATTTTGTAGTTTGACATTTGCAGTTGTCAAATTGTTGTCTCTAATTATGGAATGAACTATAGGTACTAAGTTCAAGAACTAAAAGAGACAATGTACCTTCTTCTGATACTAGGCAGTGACGTATAGTATACGAAATTCTAGGTACTTAATTAGAGTAAAACAGTAGGTAGTCGAAATTTTAAGTATATTTCTTATAGAACGAAACCATGATTTGTGTCCGAAGTATAAACATGTGTCATGGTTTTATTTTGTCGTGTGTATGGTATCTTAGGGCCAGTCCCTCATTCTGATTCCCATTTTCCATTTATAACCCTCAAAATGCCGGTAACACTAATGCAACTCTTTTTGCGTTCCAAGCAAAGGCGTCCATGGAAAGTGTAAAATGATTACCAAATTGATATTCAAATTACTTCTCCCGTCCGGGGTGGGGTGAGGGGGAGTGTCCGAATCTTACTGACTAAAAACCCACCGTTGCTTCTCCTGCTTTAGGCCGAGGCTGCGGTGCCTCATTGCCCCCACAACCCCGGCTGTTCCCGCCCTATGTCATAAAATTAACGTTGTAAATGTAATTATTCATAATTTTCCCTTCTTTACTGAATAAAAATCGCGCTCTTTTCTAGTTAGGTATGCTATTGTCATTATTTTCATCGTGATTAAAACGTGGGACGCAAAACGGCCCCAACGAAGTGCCAAAATAAGAAACAGTATGTGTGACGTAACCTCGTAAACTACTGGACCGGTTTCGAAAATGTGCTTTTTGTTATATCAATCTGATGTTGGTGGCTAAATATTTTATACTTCATTGAGTTTCCGACTCGAATACTGAAAGTAGATTACCGTTTTATTTACTTAATACTCACACTATCACATACATTTATTTACCTACCTACCTTCAGATAGTCACAAAAAGACTTTCTTCCGAGACGTTTCCATTTTTATAATTACTCTTTAAAGCTATAATGCGTAGGTCGAGAGTTGCGTATAAGTATAAACATATGTCATAACAACTAAATAATACATTTAAATAAAAACATTTACTCATCAAACGCTTCATTATTCTTTGTTTTATACCAAAAAACGTTGACCTATCAAAAGTGTAAAATAGCCCCTTGTAAGTTCGTATGAGTCATTAAAGCGGAGGGACGGGGCAGCTCAACCGTAATCGGCCGACCCTTGCGTATGACTAATTACATTTACGTCGTACGAACTAGAAATTAATCGAAATTGAACTTTATATCTTTGGAATAAGAATGATAAGATTTTCGACACGATGTCTTTTTAAGTTTGCGCGGGTGTTCACTGATTATACGGAGCCATTGGTAGTGGGTGCTTGTAAAAGTGCGGTGGTGTGTCGTGATACAGGACAATCTGTCTGTTTTTATTGATAAACATATGTAAATATTACATCTGATAAAGTTTTTAGTGTCGCTGCGACACATGTGCTCGATACGGCGTTTAAAAATAATTTTACTTACCGACATTTTTGTATTAGAAAATCATTTTGTGAGTGACAAATTTAAAAGTTTTAAAAGTAATGTAATGAGATGACATATTGGAAACGAACGAAGAGGTTAACAAATAAATAAACACAAAGGAATACCCACAAAGAAAAGAAAAAGAACAAAGGAAAGATAAATAAAACAAAAGAAAGTATTTGACTGAAGGTAAAACAAATATCGAGGAAGATGGACATCACCACAGCACGAGCAATTTCGATGCTCACATTGGGCTTAGGAGCATTCTTCTCAGGAATGCTACCAGCATGTTTCTCAGAAGCGGCAAGACAGAGACATCCTCTCCTACTATCCTGCCTTCTGTGCTTCGGAGGAGGAGTCCTTTTATCGACCTCCTTAGTCCACATGCTGCCAGAGACAAGAGAACGGCTACCACAATATTCGGAGCTGACTTTATGCCTCGGATTCTTTACAGTATACTTGGTGGATGAACTGTCCCATCTTTTCTATAGAAGTGAAAATCATGAGAGAGATATTCCAGTTGGTGAGCAGACAAGACTGTTGCCCAGAGACCATGATGGGGAGATGAGGGAGAGGGAAGGAACTTCAGAGCTTTGCCATGTGAGCCATGCAGAGCCTTGTAACAGAAGTTCCTCCAGCGTTGTCGGGTTACTGTCTGCTTTGTTCGTCCACAGTGTCCTTGAAGGGCTAGCTATAGGACTACAGGAAAGTGCTACACAGGTAAGTTCGAAAGTACCTATCTCTAGTTACTCGTATATTATCCTCTTTCGTATCTTTCTGTTTTTATTATTATCTTATACTAGGATTTCTCCCCCGTGCCTTGTTATGGGGGCGTTTACAATTTTCACATAAATCCGGAACAATAATTTATAGATCATATGCATCAATCAAACCCGCGATACGTTGCACGGCAGCTATTTTTCCAGCTACCGTCACCGTCACGTCAAGTGCAGTTGTGATGTAAAATTATAGAGGTGTTTGCATAAAAGTTGACGTGACTATTCATCACTTTATTAATTTGAAAATGTAAGAATTCCCTATATCATACATATTATCGTAAAGAAATAAATAAAAATAAAAAAAACATGAAAACAATCAGGATCGAACCATAACCCATTAGGTACTATAGCTGGGGTTTCGGGACATGCCCAATAAAGTACCGCGACCTCCGCCAGGAGCAGGGGAAGGAATGAGGGTTTTTCTCATCCTGGGTTATAGAAGTCGTTTGATGATTTTCTCCTCACATTAATAAAATCCCATTACTCGTTTGCAGTATGGCCTACCACCAGATCAATAGGTTTTTTTTGTGAAGGAAAAATCATCAAATGACTTCTCCCGCCCAGGGCCGAGAGGTAGTGTCAGACTCTTACTGACTAAAAACCCCCCTGTTCCTTCTCCTACTCTAGGCTGAGGTTGCGGTTACCCCGCAACCCCGGCTAGATCAATAGGTAAGCTATCGATAATGAATCATGACTTCATGAACCTTTGTGATATTAGTTCACATAAAGGGATTTTTTCTTTTGTTTTAATTATTCAGAACACTTCAAACCAAAGTTCACGGTCAGCCCGCCATGTTGATAAACATTTAGGTCTTCATTAGGTTGCTATGACTCATCATATTTTACGTTCTGGATGAAATATTAAAATAGAATTTAATATGTTGTTATTATAAGGACTAATTTTGAGATGGTAAACAAATATATAAAAATACAAGATAATTCCTTTTTTTTGTTTATTTCATAATAATATGTCTAATAAACATTTTATGCGAATGCGAACCATTTAATTAATAATTTTAATGTATTAGAGTTCAATTTTGCATACCATTAATAATTATTACTTTACAACCATACTCATAACATTAGCTGTAGGTACGTTGTTATGATATGCTTCAGACACATGTTTAGAAGTTGGTGCCACGCCATTTTGAAAATAAAATCCATGACATATACGGGTTTTTAAAATAAGGAAAATATGCACGAGGTTCTGTTGCTTAGGACAGAAACTTTCAACGATGGTAGTGTTAAAATTTTATACGTAATATTAATATTTAATATGGACACAATAAATTAAGATACCGGAGGATGTCCAAAATATATATTTTCTTGTAATAAGAGTGGAAATTATTCGAGGGTGCGGATCAAGCGGAATTATCTACCGCGGCCTTGAACTGTAGCAGGACAAGGAAAAGGAGTGGGACCTTTTAGTCAGTAAGAATTGACACTCCCTATCACCGTACCCTTTCTGTGATTTGCGGGGTAAGCACAATGAAGCACCACAGCCTCGGCCCAGAGCAAGAGAAGGAACGGGGAGGTTTTTAGTCAGTAAGAGTCTGACACTCCCCGAGAAGTCATTTGACGATTAACCCCTCGCCAAAAAAAACCCTTCTCGTGAATTATCTTTGTGTGAATTTAATAGCTTTTCTTTCTTATTTCTTTCTTAACCTGGCGAGGGAGCAGTCATTTGATTCATTTGATATATCTATTGCACGAATGTTTGCTAGAAGTATTGTGATGACTAGCAATCAATGAGTATTGACCTCTCCACAGACTGATAGCAAGCTTTAAAATAAACTGTATCCTTCCTTTATGTATATAAATAATGATAAATGTTAAACACTAAAGGAATCCTACTACATCATTTAATATTTAATATAAATGCAAAAAAAATAATATGGACATTTATGGATTGATGTTTGTTACACTTTTTCGTAAAAACAACTGAATAGATCCGAATGAAATTTGGCACAGACATACATGATCTAGAAACAATGAATTTATTTTTGCAAATAGGTGAGAAAACAGCATTTTTACATATCCACATTAAATAAAAAGGAAACTAGATGAAGCCAACGTTCCCTATCTCACAATTCTGAGTCTCTTTTAAAGTCCAGACATTGTAAAAATAATGTATTGAGATAGTCTGCAATAACATATACGTACCTACTACCTAATAACATATCTATACGCACTATGGTGGTTGTGACGCATATTTTCTTCTTTTTTATATGTAGGTATGTCTGAAATATGAAAATGTTTTTTTTTGTTTTATGTTTCAATACTTGTCTTGCTTTATTTTGTGGCTTATGTGCGTCTTAGACGCGAATAAATACTTTTTCTTTCTTTCTTTGTTTCTTTCACTCGTAGTAATTACACCAGTGCTACGAGTGTCCATATCTTGGCGCCGATTACTTACCATCAGGTAATCCTTCTGATCTTTTGCTGACCTATCCCATAAAATAGACATATGTATAGGCTTCTTCTTACCCTCAAATTGTAAGCGAAGATGCACGCAAGCTAGTCTATACAAATTTTATAAAGAGGTATAATTTGTAAGCTTCTATGTTTGTAAGTTTGTATGTTTGTATGTAGGTGGTAATCTTTGGAACCGCTGGTCGGATTGCCAAAATTCTTTAACTGATAGATAGCTACAATGTTTCTGAGTGATATAGGCTATAAAACATCACGCTACGAGCAAATGGAGTTGAGCAGCGGGTGAAACCGCGCAAGAGTAGCTAGTGTCTGATAAAATTTTCCATAACAGATTACAACAAAGGAAGGTTTTACAAGCTTATCAGTATTCTATAAATACCAGCGAACTGTGAGTTTAAAGGTGAGCTCTCGAGTGAAAGGTACGTGGCCACACCTACTGGGAACTATAAGGTATCAGGGCCAAGTAAGTAAGAAGGACCATTTAACATTGATCTCTTTTCTGTCAGTTCAAACTGGAGACTGTTTTGTTAGTTGTGCAGCTGGAAAAATGCGATCAGGCAAAGGGGCCAAGGTTTTCATTGTTGGTTCCCGCTAAATAAAATTGACACTTTTCGTTTTTTTTTAATTCTTTGTTGTAGACAACAGTCTGACTGGAATTGTCCTCGTTGTTAAAAAATGATACGATCTTCAAAACTAAGAAGCGGGCGTACTTTTTTTAAATGGCCAGCATCACGTCTGTGATTTCTCTTGTGGTTGCAGGTGTCCATGGGTGACACTGATCACTTACCATCATGAGATTCGTATGCTCCTTTGTCTCCTTGTACATCATATTTGACTCACAATTATAAAGTGATGAAAAACGGAGACTTGGAGGGTTTTTTTGTGAGGGGAAAATCGTCAAATGACTTCTCCCGCCCAGGGCCGGGCGGTAGTGTCAGACTCTTACTGACTAAACGCCCCCCTATTTCTCCTGCTCTGGACCGAGGTCGCGGTGCCTCATTGCGCTTACCCCGCAACCCCGGGTGAGACCTGGAGGGTAGCATATATTTTTCAACAGTATCAGGCATTTTAGGTGCGGCGTTACTTTCAAAACTCTATACCATCTTATCGAATTTTCTTATAAAACATTAATATTTTGGCAGTCAATGCACTGATGCACGGTCGCAAGACTACAACCGGTTTAACGTGTACGGTTTCGACAGTAAATATAATTAATGCAAAAACCACTTATTGCTTAATTTATTTTGTTTTTATAACCTTTGCAAAGTATAATGAAGACTTACATATTCTTTTAAATTGTTCACTTGAGTTGATTTCTTGCCTCACACTATTTATTCTCTCTGGTATGTCGAGGGTGCGTCGACAAATATAAAATTTAACATCCACACCCAGAAGTAATTGCGGAATAAAGTTGTTCAATGCTATTGCGGAAGCTGAAAAATTAGTTTAATTCTCGGAGTAACCTAGGTATCACGGGTTTTCAGCAAACATTCAAGAGAGATCAGTCTCTTACTGACTAAAATCAACCCCGTTCCTTCTTCTACCTCCTGGAATAAGTACATGACCGTATTATTTCATTTGTTAGAAATTAAATTGTTACTTTTTAAATACCAATACTTAGACATATTTTTGAAAAATTAACATCCCAAGCAACGGCACACCCCTAGCCACCACCTACTCTTAACATAAAGTCTGATGAAGAGAACCCACTTCCTAACGGGTTAAATATTAATTGCATGTTTGTTTACTATCTTTAAAAACAATATATTCATACAACGAACTCACAACAATACCTATGTTATCTTGTAATAATTTATCTATAATAATAAGTAATATTTAGTCTTTATTTTGGTCTCGTAGGTTTCTTTAAGAGCCTTATCATTTGACCTACATTGAGTGATATAATCCTCTTGCGATAAGCGAAAGTACCTCCGTTATGAATCGTTACTCCGTTATAAATAAGAAATACTATGAAGTAATAAGTACATATATCGCAATATCAATCGGGGTCTGCGGACGGCGAGTAAGGGTAGCTCGCCGCCCGACCAGAACCAAACCCGAGTGTAGGACGCGTAGTGTTCCACTCGCGCGTTAGAGAGCCAATAGACCACCACAGATGGGGTCTTACAGGGCTAATGTTAAGCCGGGGTTGCGAGATAAGTGCAATGAGGCGCCTCGGCTTAAAGCAGGAGAATGGACTGGAGGTTACTATTTAGTCAGTAAGAGTCTGACACTATCTAATACTCACTTAAGAACACAAAGAGTTGTGCAGTCAATTACTAGTTACTTACAAAATCACCTATCAGTATCAAGGTAACACATTACGTACCTAATTTAACCAAGTTATTGACAAATCATTATATATTATTATCATTTCGTGCAATTGTGTGATAAATACAATTAACACATAGTAACTCACGTGACGTGGTATCTATTCCTTGTCAATATGCATAGTACATAATAGAGGTCGCACATATGTATATACGTGTGTTAAATAACTATTTTATG